GTAAGACGCAAACAAATACGCGCTCGTACTAGAGCATGATCTGAATCTAGGCATGTGCTCCAGAATGAGCGACAGTCTTCTATCGAGCCCCTCCATCGGTGGCTGATAGCGATGTGATCTATTTGGGTCCAACGTTGGGACGAATTAGGGGGTCGCCATGTTAAAAGATGTTCTTCCTTATGCTTAAAGTTAGTATTTGCAAGGAACAGGTGGTTATCTGAGCATGGCTGCAACAGGCGGTCGCCATTATCTGTTCTTTGAGCCACGACACCATAAGATCCACCTAGGTGTCTTTCCCTATCGCTTAGTTTACCTACTTGAGCATTAAAGTCACCGACCACTATTAGTACATCCGAGCGCTTAGCTTTTCGGAGAAGTTCGGAAAGCTTTCTGTAAAACTCATCTTTTACATCATCTGCGCTGCAGTCAGTGGGAAAATAGGCAGAGACGACGAAGAGGCAACGACGAGTGTCCCTATCTTTTCGGATCCTTATTGTTCCGTTTAGTCGGACAGCGCACAATCGACTGTCTACTGGGATCCACTCTAAGAGAGCTAGTTCTGCCCTAGGACTCAATGCTATACCTACGCCGGCGAGGCCACGGGAGGCACAATCAGGGCTTCCAGATACACGAAGCGTAAATCGAGTCGGTTCTTTATTTTGGCATGGTGAGGTCAAATGAATGACGCTACTTGGATCCTGTATGCGCGTTTCGGAGACGCAGCACACATCGATGGCGCGAGATTCTAAAGTCCTAGCTAAGGAAGCCTGTTGTCCTATTTGGCAAAGTGTTCGTACGTTAAAAGCTCCTACGTGTATTTTAGAGCGTGGTTTCAGGAGACTAGGAATAGCGTTCCGCGTACTCCAATCGTTTGCCCTAGTGGTGCGAGGTGATAAAGAGACGTGAGAAGGGTTAGTCATGGAGATAAGAGAGGTATTAAGTGGTGTAGGAAGGATTTGAATGTGACCAACTTGGTCTCGTGTGCTGTTACGGTTATGAGGGCTGATGTCACTTCCCGGCTGCCCACATCGTGGAAGGGTATTTCTTGAGGAACCTGAAAAGGAAATTGGATTAGTGTTGGTCTTGACGACCTGGGAGCGTGACCGCAGAGCACAAGGGACAACTGCTTAAGGCCAGTCGCGCACGGCCTTTTCATGGGGGGTTATTGATGTGTTAGCTCCGTTCTTCAAAGGGCCTTACCGCCGGAGACGGAGATCCGTGAGGTAAGGTGAGGTGTGACATTTTTGGAGTCGACCTTTTCTAACCCCACCCCTCCTTGTGGGAAGGCAGCATCGCTGTCATGCTGGTTGTCCGAGGGAAACACCTTTCTGCTGTCACACCTTTCTACAGTCAATAGTACGACTTCGCCCTCAGACCTTGAGTTGCTACTTTTAGTCTTACCGTTCTCCAGTCGACCTGCCTGGCATGGTAGAACCTACAGGAACATGTTCCAGCCAATATAGTTCGGTTGGGTCATCACGATAGGCAAGCCCAACCACCGCGTCAAGGTAGCAGCTTCGGTCGGGGATTCTGTACCATGTCACCCACAGTCTCCAACCATTGGTTACGAAAGTCACGCGGACCCCAACCAAGTAGTCTGCATCTACCAACATGGCTCAGACTAGAAGTTAGTGACTTCAAGCACTGATGCCACGTTTTGGTTTGGCCGCCCCTAACTTTCTTCCAACCATCTCTAACACCAGTTAGCATTGCACGACGTGGTAATCAGTGTTCAGGCATACGTAACACGTGGCCCAACCATCTCAGTCGATGAAGATTCACAACCTCATCAACTGATTTACCATCATTCCCTAATACCCTGCGTCTAACCCACTATTACTTACCCGGTGATCCCAGCAGACGCCAGCAATATTTCTAAGGCATCTGTGGTCAAATAGTAATAGCTTACGAGTGTCTTCTACTCTTAAAGGCCATGTTTCGCTGCCATAAATTAAAACAGAACGGACTGCCGCGCAGTATACTCACCCTTTAATTGATAGACGGATATCTCGATCTCACCAAAGGTGGCGTATGTCGGCAAAAGCAAACGAACGTTTTGAATCCGTGCTGAGATTTCGTCAGATACCAGTACATTAGGGCTGATCAGACTTCCAAGATAAGTGAAGCTTTCGATGCGTTCGACTACTTCACTTCCTGTCCTTAGTTCAGATGTTGATGCAGGCCAGTCCTGAAGCAACAACTTGTATTTAGAGTGGCAGAAACGCATCCCAAACATTCTGGCATTGTTGTTCAGTGCTATCAAAAGACCCGGCATTTCATCAGCGTCTTCATCAAACAGGACTACATCATCTGCGTATTCTAAGTCGGTAAGTGTACCTCCTGGTAGGAGATCAATGCCCGAAAATCCAGTCGATGCGAGCGTTATTTCCATCAGTAGGTCTATGATGAAGTTGAACGAAATGGAGAAAGTCGACAACCTTGACGGACACCACTTGAGGTTGCAAAAGCAGATGACATTTCGCCATAACCTCTGACTAGTAGTGTTCGAGTAAAGAGCCCTCACAAGATTCACACACTTCTGAGGTACGCCTTTCAATGAAAGACACTGCCACAGAATCTCTCGGCCTACGGAATCAAATGCTGCTTTTAAGTCGAGAAAGGCCACCATTGTCGGACGCCGATAAGCATGCCTGTATTCTAAAACCTGACGAGTGGTGATTATGCGGTCGATGCAGCCACAACCAGATCTGAAGTCATCCTGATTTTCTCGTGTTTGCAGTCCACGAAACTTAGTTAGGCGTTCTATAATTATTGATGCTAGTATTTTAGATGCTATATTAGTCGAACTAATCCTTCTATGGTTGTTACAGGATGATTTTGACCCGTTCTTATATATTGGGACAATCAGTGATTGTGACCGTTCAGATGGAATTACGTCCAACTCTCAGATTTCAGCTTGAATATTAGTTAATCCATATGAACCAGCTACTCTTCCTCGTTTCAGATCAGTTATAGCATTTTGAAATTCAGCTAGAGTCGGGGACGTACTTCAATATTCAATTCACGCTGTCTGGAAATGGTGGATAGTTGTAGAGTAGCTGAAGGCCAGCTGAACTGCTGTTTAAAGTGTTCCCCCCATCGTTCTCAACGTGTGGGCTGAGAGTAGATAAGTGTCGTCTTTTTTCGAAATAGTATCGATTACACTTGACTTATTAATTCCTGTTTCTTGTATTAGTCTGTAGAGCTGTCTGGCGTTACCTACAGCCGCTGCATTTTCCATCTCTTTTGCTTTCGTTGCCCACCATTGCTCATGATTGTTGTGTAGACTTTCGCTTAACCTAGACCTGATTTGTTTTCGCTCTTCATCGTGTTCAGAGCCTGATGGGATGAGTTTACGAGAATCCATCAGTGCAATAGTTTTAGAAGAAATCCATGGGTTTTTTATAACTCTTTGGCTTAAGTCACTAACAGATGTCGCTGCGGTTTCCACAGCTGTTTGTATATCTTTCCAAGAAACATCTGGATCAGCCTCGTTTTCTGGACTACTTAAGTGCAACCTCAGTTGTTCTTGAAACCTACTTTTGTATTTCTCATTACTCAATTCAATCCTAAAGGGTCTTTTTAGTGAGGCACAAGCAGATGCGTGCCCGTATTAGGGCATGGTCGGAGTCCAAGCAGGTATTTCAGAACGAGCGAAAATCTCCTATCGACCCTCTCCAACGATGACCGATGGCAATATGGTCTATTTGAGTCCATCGTTGGTTTGGTGCAAGGGGTCGCCTTGCTAAACAATGTCTCTCATTATGCTTAAAATTAGTTTGCTAAAAATAAACGATTGTCTGAGCACAGTTGCTGCAGACGATCACCATTATCTGTTCGCTGTGCCGGAATCCCAAAAATACCCACCTAAATGTCTTTCTGCTTGGTTTAAGCTACCTACATGGGCATTGAATTAAAAATTATTATTATTATTATTATTATTATTATTATTATTATTATTATTATTATTATTATTATTAGCTTTATTCAATATTATATTTTTGGTACAATATCGAATTCTAAGCGTAAAGTATTTCAACAAGTTTCCGTTTCTTTCTTCTTGGTCGACCCTGGCGATAAATATTGAGTAATCGCCAGTTAGATGTTAGCAGTTCACTAAATGAACATCTGAATAATGCGCATTCTTTCTGTTGTATATTGCCAGCAACCACATTGTCTCTTATTGAGTTTTTTGTAACTTTGACAACGAAAGGTTGTACACTTTTCAGAAACGCAGCAGAATAGGTTATGCGATTAATAAACATAGTGATATATTAAAATAAACAAAAATAGATAACTTGTTGAAATATCTAGATGGCAGGAACAGGTAGCCCAGATGATCAAGCAGGCCGCCCTTGCCAAATCTAAGTCACCTGCTACGAGTACTATGTCTGAACGCTTAGCTTTCTGAAGAAGTTTATTCGGAAATGAGTAGGTCTATATCAACCAAATAAACTTCTTAATTGGAATTTGAGAAATAGAAGACATAGCTTTCGTTTCTCACAGAAGTCCACCATGGTTAAATAAAGTCAGTATATTGCAAAATGTCATTATTTCACTAGATATTACCAACAAGCTCATTTTAATTAGATCACAGTCAAGTTTTTCTTACTTGTTTTTCAGATCACAAGAAAAAGAAAGGATTTCTTAGTTGTTCATTGTCTTATCCCTCTTGAAATTTTCTGTTTTCATGTTGGATTTTTATCTGTCTTAAACAAAATTCACTTCCTCCTGTTGTGGTGATTACCGAGAATACAAGGTAACATCTATAAAGGAAAAGAGTCGTAACTCTGGAAACTAAGCATAATAACGAAAATCGACTTTTAAAGAAATTACTTCAGTTGCTACGAAAGATTATTGGTATTTAGAGTTTTGTCCAGATTGAAGACTGCACCTCTTTGAATGATTTTATCCTGAAATTATTTCAGCCTTTAAGTAACATTCTACATTCGTCGTTAAAATTCGTCCAAATCTTGTTTTAAGGCTGCTGTTAATTTTCAATGGCTCGTACTTGCTCTAATTTTGTTTGGGTGACAAAGAAAAATATTCTGCTTTTTTGGCGTTCGTGGTTCCAGGCTATCTTTGTAATTGTTGTTCCTTTGCTCTTAGTAAGTGTGCTTGTTTTCTTACGTGGAAGGGCAACAAGAGAGGTAGTAAAGCAGCCTTTAAATTGGTCTTCCTTTCGTGTAGATAGTGGTTTTTATTTTTCTCATAAATATGTGGCATACGCTCCCAATGATACACTAAATCTCCAACTCATGAACGCGGTTCATATGTATACGAATTTACAACCTTTTGGCTTTAAAACGGAAGGTGATGCTATTGCGTTCTTTCAGAGCAATGATGTCAGATCCAAAGAAACATTAGGAGCCGTGATCTTTGATCCTTTTTCCAATTTGAGTGTGGCAAGTTATACCATAAGACTTCGCTCAAAAAATGACTGGTCTACGAGAGTGTTATTCCCAATGTTTTTCAAAGGCGGCCCAAGGTCTAAGGATATTGCAGCGTCTCCTCCAAACTATAAGGAGGAATTTTTAGTTTTACAATATGCTATAGATCGCTCCTTAATCAACATAAATTGCAAAGTGAATGATTCCTCCCAAAAATTGAAGGTCGTATTACAACGAATGCCGTTTCCACCTTATATCAAAGATGAGTTTATAATTATCATCCAAAAGCAACTGGCACTTATGTTAATATTGGGCTTCATTTTCCCAACATTGTATTGCACTCGACTTATCCTGATCGAAAAACAACGAGGAATGAAAGTAAGGTCTAATCTTTTATTTTCAGTTGTAGGAAATGTTAAAGCTCCTGGGATTAGGAGAATCAACGTATTGGTTTTCCTGGCTGATTACAAACTTGTTTGTGTTTACTCTCATTAGCCTCTTTCTTAGTATTTTACTCTGTTTCCAATTATCAGGAAATGGCCCTATTTTGGGGCTATCAAATCCATTCCTTATTTTTTTGTCATTGCTCTTATACGGTATCAGTATTTTTACGTTTGGATTTGCTCTTTCTACTTTATTCAACTCTGGTAAGTGTACATAGTTTTCCTTTTGATTTTTGTGGTCTGAGAAGTTTCAGTTGCTGTTTTTACAAATTTTCCTGGACGGCTAGTTATAAAAGTAGCATACGACGTAATCACTATTAATAAGATCGATTATATATGGCTTTATAAGCATTTCAAAATTTTATGGTTAAACAATTGAACTCGGGTTTGTCTTGTTTTAGAATGGTGAGTGAAAGATAATTAGGAACTATTTAACCCAATTCGTGCTTTGATTAGAAAAGGAATTGGAGAGATCGTTATATCATTTTATAAGAGGGGGCTTAGTGGTTGAATCAATTGACTTACAATCAATATATGACGATTTCGAACCCCATAACAACTTTCAATAGGTATGTGGTAGCACTAGCTCTCGCACAAAAAGTGTAGATGAAAGCTAATTAAATAACATGTACTTATACATTGAGTTATATGAATTACCAAATGAACCTTATTCTCTGGATTTTGGTATAATTCAACTCGGTTCTTATAGGTAGACATACGACATAGGTTATATTATGGAACTGCATTTATTCAAATTGCCTGTATATAATAGTCTAAAAAGAGTAATAAATAATAATAAGTTAAAACAAGCAAGACATGTGCAAGTGACAGAAAAATAATTAGAAAGCACCAAAATATTTAAGACTTCGAGAAGAACAAAAGGTAAATAAATCTGTACTATTGTTTTAAATTTTTAACCATAACGTCCATGTATTCCTAAAATCTTCAGGAATTGTCAGCTATTTTTTAATTCATCTAAAAGTTTAAGTAGATTTCCAGACAATCCTTAGATAACTGCTCCTTACTTTTTGAGCACTGACTTGATATATTCGTATTATTATTATTATTATTATTATTATTATTATTATTATTATTATTAATTTGCACAAACACTGGTACAAGGGGGCACCAAAGACATATGTGCCACACAATAGCAATGAGGCCAGTAGTTTTTATCATTGATTTGTGTGTTGGATATGATACTTTCAGGGTGCCCAAACAGAAGGAGTTCGTTTACTTAGGGGGTCACACCCAGAGCCTTCGACCTAAAGGTCTGATCTACAAGGCAGTGGAGCGACGTTAGGAGATGCAGTCCCATGGTAGCAGGCGACCAACGATTGGTTCATACGCCATTTGTTCCCTCAGGATCCTGGAGCCCATGTGCACCATTGGTTTAAAATCAAGGTTTTCCAACTCCCCTAGGTGAACTCTCCGTCTCCACTAACCCGGTTAAAGTGCCAGACATTCGATTTTCGTCCTCTCAGTTTCGTAAACAACACCCCTACCGCGAGAAGGCAATGAGTAGGACTTCCTTGACAGTAGCTGTATACGCGAGGCCATATGAGAGCATTTCTAGGGGGACAGCAGACTCTTTCCACCCTCGACTGTACCAGGGCATTCGGAGGCATTCGTAATGTATTTAACTGTTATGCATTATTTTACAAGATACTCAAGTATGGAAGGCCTAGCCGTATATACTAAAAAGTCATAATAAGCTATCAAGTGCTGTTCAACAATCGTTCTTTTTAAGTTGATTTATAAATCAACTTAGTCATTGATTTCGGACCACCTTATTATTGGGATCCAGCTAAGAACTTATCTCCATCCGTACTTTTTATCCTACTAAATAGGTTTCGTCTGCTGGAATAAAACCTTAACCTGTAATACAATATATATATTCATGTTATGGTTTTGAAATACTGTCGTTTACTTCCAAGGCTTCATCAAACGACCCATGTAAAAGAATTTGAGTATTAAGCTATCACTGGTATTTTTATGAAGTTCCTGTGAATTATGAGCGTTTACCTAGAGACAGAATCACTACTGAGGAAAACTGTTATGTATGTTAAATGTTTAACTTACTTGTGCTTGGTATTCAAACCTCAAATCTGACGAAGCATAGTGAGAATATAGAAGTCGGTAATTGGGATTTATTTGACTTCCAAAACAAATCAGTTTGATACATGAATACATTCCGTTATACGTTGATTTTACTCACATTTGATGATCAGTTAACAGTTATCACACATAGGATAAACAATAAGAATTACTACAAATTCCAAATTACGAAGTTTACACTGAATCGATGCAAAGAATATTATCTTGAACAAACATCATACGGAAATAAATCAACGTTATACTGAACAAAATACCACACTAAATATAAAGCAGATATTACACTGAGTAATTACCATATTGAATTAAAATTGGGAATAATGTTGAAAGAAATACAAATACGTAATTTATCCTATTTATCCTGTCATATCAAAATTATCCCACAAAATGTATCATTTTATTTGTCTGCTAATGATTGTCAACGTTTTTGAAATGCCATCATGGCCAAATATGTTTTAATTTAATAGTTGATTAGTGTTTGAAAATACAACGGTCTGGAAAATTCATTATATAAATGCACACAAAAAAGTAATTTAATTTATCTATGTGTTTTTAGTCAATATCATGAAGCCATCTAACGTGTTTAAAATAAACTTTTTAAACAGTTCACTCTATGTTTACTGTTTAAAATAACAAATGTCTTCCTTAATTTTTACTTACATTATAGCTCATACTGGTGTGGCAATAGTTTGTACAGTTCTGATTGTTATCTCATTACCTTACCCACTTTTGGAACGACATTATAATGAACTAAACATATTCATTAAAATGTTTGCTTGTTTATTACCCAGTTTAGGCATGGGTTTCTTATGCATTTTAATTGGGCAATTCGAGGGCGCAGGTAATATACTCAATTACTTAAAATAATGACGTTTTAATGTTCTGTTTCATTTTTGAGTTATGATCTATATCCCGAATGTTTCGTCCTTTTTGTTGAAAAGGGCCGATATTAAAACCCAACCGCACTTCTATTTTGGCTACGTTTAATGGAATTATTGCGTCTATTTACAGAGATCAATTCTAATTACTTTTGCAAAACAAATTTTTGATCGACATCGCGTGAACCATTCGTTTCACACATCTAGTAGTGCACAGTGACGTCCCAAATTTGTAATTTTATCATGTAATCAGGACTATAGTTATGTTTAACATTCATTTCTTGGAATACACTTTTTATTCTGAGATGTGCACCATGCGAACTTTTCATTATTTCAAGACGGAAACATCAATTGACCATTGTTACCTGTTTTCAACTGACACCATTAAATGTACAAGACCCGGATGCGAGTATATCATAACGGTATTACCGGATGAAAACTATTTTAGTAATGAGTTCTAGTTATTTTTTTATAAGACCCTTTTTATTTCAATGAACTGTTACATTGTAGGTTTGGGTGTACAATTCTCATCTTATTTCAAACCAGCTTCTCCAGATGACAGTCTATCTATTCATCTCCTCTGCTCAATGTTTATTTTCGATTCTATTGTATTTCTGATACTTACTCATTATATAAGTGCTGTTTGGCCTGGAAAATACGGTATTCCCAAACCATGGTACTTCCCATTTCTCGTAAGCCTTATTTGTCGCTATAAACAGTATTGTTGTCCTGAATAATATTAAACTAACCACTTTTTTCATTCACTTTATTCACAATTGTTAATATGTAGGTTATTATGATGGATTTGAATGTATCCTACAATTTTGATATTATCGTCAGTATTATTGTGGCCACAAGTTACACCTAGTTTTGAATTATGTCGTGAAAAATTCTTGTTTAATTCAAAAATAATTAAATTTCATGGGAGATTTTAAGTGACTGTTCTATTGCTTTAAAAACGTTACTAAAGCCGCAATGAATCGGCCAACTGATTAAATCACTGCAAAACTTAGGGGCAAACTCAGATCGGTTCACACCTCCATACTTTTAAATTATCTGATTAAACGAAACTGTTAGATATAATAAGAAAAATAAAAGCAAACAAATATGCAGAATAGGATGTTGTTCATTATTTAGAGATAGATAATTAAATGACGCATTTAAACCGTGTTACTGGAGTTTCATTTTCACTTCTTTAGCCTTATGAAGAAATCTAGTCAAAATTTTTTAATTCCCAACAATATATAATCCTGTTATCGTAAACCTAACGCTCGACGTTGAACTTATCGACTTGCGAACCTTGAAATTATATAATATACTGCAAACACAAGTTACGAAAACAACTAAATCTACAACCATACTTGCTCTGACCAAATAGTGATGGTTTAATGGTTGAACCACTTAAATTTCTACTACCGTATCTCAGGACCGAGACATCTATTTTGGTATGCTCTGCCAGGCAGCATCACTTATCCTCACTCAAAGTGTAGTTCAAAATCGCGTGCGCACGCTTCTTCTTGGTTACTGAGTTGCATCAAATTATTAGGGATAAAATTTTGCGAGTTCCTATTGTGAAGCTTTTGATGATTATGTCAGCTTAGTAGAATTGAATGACGGACATTTCTCGGACTAAAGTGAAAACTAAAAACCATGGATTGACTAGTGTTAAGAACACTCAGCACTTTATTCTAACCGTAGCTGCTATCTTGACGTGGTGGTGGAGCGTGCCTATCGTGATGATACAACCGAGCTATATTGGCTAGAACATATTTTCCTTTAAGTCGTATTATGCAAGACAGGTCTGTTGGAGAACAGTAAAACTAAAAGTAACAACTTAAGGTTCGAGAGTGAAGTCGTACTACTGACTTTAGAGATGTGTAACAACAATAAGATGTTTCTCTCGGACAACCGGCATCTTCAACGACGCTTCCTTCTCACAACGAAACGAACGGGATTAGAAACGATTGACCCTAAAAATGCCATGTCTTACCTTACCCCACGGATTTCCGTCGCCGGCGTTATGACCTTTTGAAGTGCAGAGCTAACACATCCAAAACTTACCATAAAAAGGCTGTACGCGACCGACCTCAAGCAGATGTCTTTTGGGCTCTGTGGTCACGCTCCCAGGTCGCTGAGACCTTCATTAATTCAGCTTCTCTTTCAAGTTCCTCAAGAATAAATGTCCTTCCATGGTGTGGGCAACCAAGAAGTGATAACCTTTCTCATATCTCTAACATTTTGTTGATAATCAAATCCCTCCAGCTCTTAATAATACTTTCATCCTCACGACTAACCCTTCTCATTTATCTGCATTGCCATGCGCCACCGATGCTAATGATTTTAGTTCACGAAATGTTATTCTCAGTCTCCTGAAACCACACTCTACACTATATATTGGGGCTTTTAATGTTCGAACTTTGTGTCAGATAGGACAACAGGCTTCTTTAACTAGGATTCTAAAATCTTGCGCCGTCGATGTATGCTGCATCTCTGAAACGCGCATACAATATTCAACTATGGTCACTCATCTGACCTCACCTTGTCAATCTAACGAACCGTCTCCTCGTGCTACTTCCTGCGAACTCGCTAGTGTAGGTGTAGCATTAAGTTCTAAAGTAGAACAGGCTCTGTTAGACGAGACCAGTAGATAGTTGCTTGTGCTTTGTTCGACCAAACGGGACAGTAAGAGCTTGGAAAGATAGAGACATACGCCATTAGTTTTTTTGTTGTCTCTACCTGTGCTCCCACTGATTGTAACGCGAATAAAGTTAAATATGAATTTCATGGGAAGCTGTCCATTCTCCTTCAAAAAGCTAAATGCTCTGATATAGTAATAATGGTAGGTGATTTTGATGCTCAAGTAGATAAGATAAACTAAACCGAACCACACTTGGGCGGATCTTACGTTGTTGCGGCTCAGCGAACAGGTGATGGCGACTGTTACAACTATGCTCTGGCAAACACCAACTTTAAACCTAAGGTAAAATATAATCTGTGGTGACCTCCACAATCGACTCATCGATGGACTCAACTCGATCATATTTTCATTAGCCGTCGCTGGAGGTGCTCGATAGATGACTTTCCCTTATTCTGGAACACATGCTTAGACTCAGACGACGCTCTAGTTCGAGCATCGATTTTTCTGCATCCTACTGGACTCAGTAAAGGCACAACTAAGAAACTCCTTAGAGTTCAACTAAATGATGAAAAAGTTAAGAGTATATTTCAGAAACAACTAAGGAAGAAATTAGTCAACCATAAAAGTGATATCTACCCCAAGGTAGCTTGTCATGATATCCAAAATGCCGTAGAAACAACAGTGATATCTACTGGTAACTTGAACCAAGATGTTAGGAAAAGTCAGTGGATTTCAGCAGTGTCTACAAAACTAATAGGTACTCAGAAACTCATCCTGTCGGGCTCTGGACATTTGGGGAGTAGAAGCAGCCTAAACATAGACTGACCAAAATCCTACGTAGTGATTGTGAGCAGTAGGAGGCAGTAAATGCAGAAGAAACGGAAAAGACAGCAGGATTAGGTAATAGTAGACAACTGTACAGAATTATCAATGAAACGAGTATTAGAAATGCGATTGTTAGTGAACCTACCTCGGAAAAAGAAGGGACTATTGTTCATTATCGATTCAGGAGACTGACAGTCCAAATGGCCTCCAACCACACTTCAGTTACCTACTATCTCCAATAAACATAAATGACAAACTGATGCAAGTCTCCTAACTCCTTGTGAGGTCAAAAAGACTAAGTAACCTGAAACGAGAAAGAAAAGTAAGGCCTGATAGTCTAGTTTTTGGAATTTTTAGAATGATAGTTCAGTTTTAGCAGTTAGATTAACTGAAATCTTAGCTAAAATCTAAATGGTCTCGATCGCTGGTCGTTCCAGTTTATAAGAAAAGACGAAATTCCTCTTGTAACAATCACAGAGGAATTAGTTCAAATAATATACTGTCTAAAATATTGGCCTTAATAATACTTCAACGACTAACTAGGGCTCATGAAAACCAAGCTGGTTTCAGACGTGGACGTAATAGACCAAATATTCACCTTTCGGTAGATTCTGGAACATAGACATACATCCTGACAACCGACTATAGTTGGATTCCTTAATCTTGATGTGGCGTTCGACTCGATTGATCATGAGGTTCTATTGCAGCGTCTGTTATTGAAAGGTGTAACAAAGTACATTAACCTCGTACAGGCTTTCTACTCGAACACTTTTGGTCGAGTTGGAGCTTATGGTGAACTGTCGTCAAAATTGGTTATTTGGTTTGATGTTCCTCAGGGTTTTCCGCTGTCTTCACTTTTAATTAACTTTGTCATAAACGTTCTCTGATAGATGACACACTCAACCTCTGACTTTTCATGGAGTCAGTCCACCAGGATATTCACTTGTTGACTTAGAATACGCAGATAATAAAGTTCTATTTGGTGAAAATGCTGACAAAATATAGTCTCCTGACCGTCTTAAACAATAATGCCAGCATGTTTGGGATGTGGTTCTCTCCCTCAAAATGTGAAGTGTTCTTTCAGGATTAGGTTGCGTTATCTCACGAATTAATGACAGAGAGTGAAATAATTGAACTCATCGACCGTTTCATTTATTTTAGGAGTCTCTTCAGTAATGATGATCTGGTGTCTGACGAAATCTCGGCACGGATTCAGAAGGCTCGATTGGCTTTTTTTTCACTTTCACCACTTGTTGAGCAGGCGAAATGTCTGTCTTCTATCCAAGGTAGCGAAATTACTGCACAGCAGTTCTTTCCGTTCTACTTTGTGGATGTGAAACATGACCGTTAAGAGTGGAGGATATTCGTAGGTTCGACCATAAATGTCTACGAAGCATTACTTGTGCATTTTGAGATCACAGAGTAAGCAATGCTTGGGTTAGGAATAGGGTACTAGGTAAGAATGACAAATTGATTGGTGCGGTAGTAAATCTTCATCAGTTGAGGTGATCAACACGTGTCACGTATGCCGATTCACTGACTACATCAACGGGTGATGTCCGGTGTAGGAGTATCCTGAAAGGAAGTTGAGGGAGGCCAAAGCAAAACATGGCATCCGTCCACAAAGTCACTTACAATTGGACTTAGCCATGTTAATAAATGTAGACTACTTAGTTAACATCCGCGTGATTATCGTAACCAATCATTAGGGACTTCGAATGGCATGGCTCAAAATCGTTTGAAATGGCGAAGGTGCATCCATTCTTTGTTTTTCTCTAGACTTTAAGCTCCTTAATTCCTCATAACTTTTTTGTTTTTATTCCGCTAATTTTGTTTTCTAGAATCGTATCTCCAATGCTTAGTCTTTCCTATTACCTCTGATAATGTCACTACCTCTAATATTCTGGGATTTGACCTTACTGCTTCATCTCTGTGCTAATTGGGTATGGCAACTTGAATCGATGTACATACGTACAGGTTCTACGTTGTCACTGAATTGGTTCAAAAGTATGGTTGTTATGTCCTTGTTTTGTCTATTAACTAGTCTGTGCTTAGTATACAGGGAGAGAGAAAGTTGTGTCGTTCTAGTTTACGGCCTTAATTCGGTAGGTTACCTAGTACAACCTTCCAAATGAGCGGTTTTGAAGGCAGACAGAAAAAAACTATCCGACTACCGAGTTATGAATCAATAGGTTGGCAAGCGGAGAGAAAAAGACTTAGTTGGTACCGATGTCTGATTTATTCTTGATTCTATCAACTAATAATACACATATGACCAACAGGACCATTACGCACAAAGGAACGACAATCATATCCAAACTAGAACATTAGGATGGACAAAATGGTATACAAGGGTTACGTTTAGATTACAGTAATTTCTGAGTAGAAAAAATGACAATTTATACACTACATAAAAGTTGATGATTCATAAAATAAAGCTGGCACAAAACAATATTGGTACTTTGCAGATTTCGAACTAAGGGAGACAGTTTGAAAATGAGTAACTTTCCTTGTTTGTCATTGTCTTTTATCCCTTTCTTTACAAAGAAAGCATTGGATAGGAAACCTCGAGAGCCAACGAGTACATTCCCCTGATTAATGGGAATATCAAAATGGAACAGTTATGTAGTGTTTTATTGTTTTCAATGATTTTCTCACTATAGTAGCTCATGTGAACAGTTTTGATTGTTTGCCATATTGTTTATGCAATGTTTTTCAGTGTTTATGTAGGCGAAAACTAACTTTCGAAGTCCTGCTTGATAACGCAAAACCGAATGAGCTGACAAGAAATGCAAAAGAAACAACAAGATTACTCTCTTTACCAAATACTGATGGTAGAAATGAAGAGTTGCAAACAAACCAACAAATAAACATTAATAATACTGAGTTTATTCCATCAGATCCATTTCCTGAGAAAAACGAACCTTTACTTGAGCATAATGATGATGGCGATGACACACTTGAACGACTATCTGCACAAAGTTCAGACATGCATGAATATTTCGAAAGCGAACCTGTTGGTTTACAAGTTGGGATTGCAATTGATCACTTATGTAAAGTAATTGTAATGCTGTCATAATCATAACATTAATATATAACATGTACTCAGTATTCTGCACATTGCTTTCAGTTTATCATGACGTTACCAAATGTCCACAATTTACTTGCCGATACCTATGGCTCTTGCTCTACTCGATAAAGTAATACGCATTTATATTTTAACTGTGCTCTTGTATTATAGGCTTGGCGAATCTAGGTAGGTCTCGGAACCATGTGGAAGTGAGGAATAAAGGTGCAGACAAGCTGTTGCTCTCGGGAAAATTATTCATCTAGTCGAGTTCACCGTCTATATATATAGTATGATTAATTAGACGTATAGCTTTTGATGTATAGCTTCCTATCCGCTCTTATTCTTCTTACTCTTGCTTGGTTTGTCGGGTCAACTGTGCATATATTCTAACGCAACTGGGCCAAAGATCATAACACGTTCCGTGTTGGTTTCTGCTGTGTTTCCAAGTCCTGTTTTTGGGCTTGATTCCGATTTCGATAAATTGGTTGTCTTTATTTGTTTAATCATATATCCTCCCGCGCCTAAAACGATTTGACAGATTGTAGAATATTACACGAATACTATTTATAATTTATGTATTAACATAAAAACAGTTTGGGCATTATCTTAATGAACTATTGTGTACATATCAAATACCAATATCCAAGGTATCATTTTCGTTAAGTCAACTAAAATAATATTTTCAAAATAAATAACTTTCACTAAATAGTTTGGGAATGACTAGAACCAGAGATGGTTGTTAGTCACCATTCGGATCCAGAACGTACATTTCTTCCTATCCGGGATTCGTCAGCCGAATGTACTTGCACCTCAAAATTAATGTTTACTCTGGAACTCGAATCCAGCATTGTTCACTTCAAACGCCATTGAGTTGTCCAGATAACTACTGGCATGTGGAATGGGGTGAAGTCTAATTCATTTGTATTGGTTGTTTGAATCTTCAGATTGATGTTGAGGACTGCAATTGATCAGTCTCTGGGATTCAGGTACACCCAGCTGACGAGTCCCAAATAGGACTAAACGTGCATCATGGATTCCATTGCTAACCACCATCCACCTCTGCTTATAATGCTTGTGACGTAAGACAATATCGAGACAATCCGCACAGGATACATATACGCCATAAAGTGACTGACTGATACCAGTTTTAAACATCAACGGAAACATCCAAACTTCCAATACAAATCAATCAGTTTGAAAATGGTTTTCACCATGGTCTAAATTCAGTTGACAAACAATTCGAAACTGGGATTAATGAACAGTATCTTCGTCGTAGTTTGAGTCGCATCAGTAATTCTACTTGGAGACTAGAACAGTGATAAAACAATCTCATGAGTACTTGATCTTCAAAGGATCAAGCACCAATCCATCTATCTAGGCTTAGCATTCATAGCTGTCGTTTCATAAATCAGTATGCCTTATAAACAAGTAAGCCAAGTTGTTTGTGATAATGGCTGAGTTTCATTTACAAGTAGATTTTATTAGGCTAACATTCCGACTTGAATGAATCTAGACTCACATGCTATAGAAATTATTTCTGTCACTATCATTAATTTATTATCGTTTATTTTGTCATACGGTCTTTCTTTGATTGCTTCTTATTTTATGTACACCAAAACCATCCCTTCACTCATACGTGTGCATTCACTTATGTAAACTCTTCAAATCCTGTTCAATTATTACGCAACCCATATATATATATATATATATATATATATATATATATATATATATATATATATAATTCTGTTAATTCTTTCACATTATATCTTAGTTCAATGTTACCTTTCAATACACATATGATTTAAAGCAATTAATGCCTTTGATAAGTTTTGATAGTGTAATAAGATGAAGATTATCAGGACTATGTGATATATTAGAGCAACACAAGTATATGTGTGATCAGATTGTTCGAAATGTAATGCAATGTAAACTTCTAAATATAATGGATTCACTTTATTCTACATTAATTGTTGTTCTGGCTTTGTTCAAATATAGAAACTTTTTTAAACTCCCATTTACAGAACAATTGATTATTATTTAGTCCTCCCGAATTTATTCTTTTTCTGTGAAAATTGATGATTAAATCATTTTTCCATAGGTCTATTCTAACAAGCAATCTACGGTTGTTGCTGTGTCTGGTTTAACAATGAACATTTATGAAGGCCAAATAACTGTACTTCTAGGGCATAATGGGGCTGGTAAAACTACGACTCTATCCATACTGACCGGTAAATGATTATGATATAGTGTTTTATTATATTCTGCACTGTTTGTCATTAATCTTTGCTAATCACAGGTAATCATCTCATTTCTGATGCTTCGTAAATTATTGTCATTAGTAATCATTTTTTGAGTTAATGAATATTTTCTAAGTGAACTGCTAATTAATTCAGATCACGTTAAAAAAAGAGGGGCTATCGACCGATCAAACTTCATGATAAAACTTTACCCCTTTCATTCTTTATCAAGATTCGATAGGTGGTTAATTGTACTTAGAAGTCATCCATTGAGTTTTAAAGTCGTGTTTTACACACTTCCAACTGCAAATTAGTGCGTTGAATAAATTGAAAATAGTGTGAAAGAAGTTAAAACAAACGCGCTGATGATCTGGCGATGAATTGATGTGCAATCAATAAACTACCAAAATAGGTCATTTTTTGATAAAAGTGAAAATTTTGTGACAGACCAACCTAATGATGTAATTATTACCTGAAAAGTTAAAGAAATTGCATATATCGGATATGCGACTCCTATGTCTCAGATACAGTTCATATTTAAACAGGAAGATTACCGGTTTCACTAGCTTGATGTTAATCTGCCTGAACAAAAAAACAGATTTGGCCATTAGGCGAATAATGAATGAATGACGTGTATGTGTTTGCAAATAGGACATCTCACAAGAGTGCGTTATGCATAATAAAATGTTATATCAACATCAGCAATAAATATCAGTTCCCCAACTATTTATTTGTTCTAGTACAAATTATTGTTATAAATGCTTTTGAGATAAATAATTCACACTATATACTACCGATTAGAAATTTAAGTGTTTAGATATCATAGATAAAGTCCCCTTGGTCTAGTGCGTGTTTAATCTCAAGTAGGGTGACATCCCCTCTAGTGTCTGAACCTATGTATAAACTGTATCTTCGGGCCGATCAAGTATTGGCTTATGTCATCAAGGGTACAGTTATTGTGCAGGTTCTTATCAGTTAGCAAACAACTTATTTTCCTATCTCTCAGTGTTCAAAATCTATTATTTATTACCCGTAGATTTTCCAAGTGCAATCAATCACAGATAAGAGTAAAATCACATTCACTAACTCCTCTTTCACACCTTTATATGGTCAGTTTTTGAGTCCATTGTGGGTGGTATTGTACAGTATGATTTAGAGATATTAAAAGATGTCTTCTTACACTACTAACTTCTACCGAAGGACTATTCTTATCTATTCCTGAAGATAAATTAGCTTTCAAATCTCGTCACTACCACCAACTACAAAATGATCAGATGAATAGAGCAATGACAGAATAATGGAAATTGCGATTACTTACTTTATGTTTTATGAGACATTTTCAAATTTTAACCATGTAGGTAGGCATTATGAAATACCTGACATTTGTATCTTTCAATCAAATATATCTGATATTGGTTATCTTAGTATAAAAAGCCTTACCAGATAAACAGGTAGATAGAAATAACGTCAAAAGTATCTAACGAGTGAAGAAATACTTATTATATCAACAAAGGTTAAAAAAACTACAAAAAGAGGGAGAACAAGGCTGAGGTTCCCAATATGTTTTTTTACTGTTACTATTGTAAGATCTGAAATATGGAATCATTATATGTTCACATCACTGTCGACGAGTATATCCTATTCACGTAAGTCCAATATCATCATCTCTCATTTGGTAATTCCATCTCATAAAAGTGATTCTTCAAAGATAACGATAGGTTTCAGTTATTGTGTTTCACCGTCGTGTAATCGGCCATAGACAATTGGTGCACAATATACTAGATCTTTAATCAACATTCATATCCCATTTACACTAAAGATTGCTTAACAAAATAAAAATGAGTGTTTTGCATCTATACCAAGATTTCATTAAAAATCAATTACAAAAAAATCAAAAACAGAAAAGCTGTCGTTGCCTTTCGTTCAAGTACAAAAGTGCAATACGACCGACATAAGTTTCGATTCTAAGCTATATATCATAGCACATCGTGTCCACATACAGCATAACCTTCTGCACCACATCTCAAGAATGAGAAGACATCAACAAATCAGAAAGAATGTATCACTTAGTTCTATTCTGCATTTTTCAACGAAACCCAAGGCCAATAAACTGTCCGTTTGGCGTATGTAAAATTTGCTCTGTTTATGGAAAGCAATGTTTTACAGCTATCCCACTTATTGTTAAATCGTCCCCACTATGGCGAAACACCATCAAACCGTAAGATGTTTTCTGATATATTGTTACCGTGTTACCAGTCCTACAGAGGTAATCATAAGCCAGCACAAAAGACTGGTGCTTATTATATTAATTCCCATTAATGCGTTATACACAGCGTTGATGATTTAGTGTATACTTTCTTTATATGTAAAGCAAATCACTTAAAGATGTTAGTTGTAAAGTGGTTCATTACACTATGAGCAATGTGTATATTATCACATAGATCGACGTTTTCTCTGTGATTAAGTTTAGTAATAATGTGTGCCTATTATATTCCCTCATTCTACCTTAAGTGTTTGTATGCATGTCTTACAAGTTGTTTGTCAACCTGTTGTGAAAATTTTTTATATTTAAAGATTTTCAGAATGTGTTTTGTGGAGAGTTTTAGAAATTTCACAGGTTGAAATCATGAGTCAGTTGAAGCTAGACCACCATCGAAAACCTGGAAGCACTGGACGGCCGTTTCGTCCTGCTATGGGACTCCTCAGCAGTGCGCATCCACGATCCCGCACCATGCGGAGCTCGAGCCCAGGACCTACTGGCTTCGCGCGCGAGCACTTAACCACTAGACCACTGAGCCGACATCCAACGGTGTTAATGTCTAACTTCAACCAATCCACGAAGTTGCGCCACCGTACACTATTGTCTTCAGTGAGTTGTTATCTCACAACAGACCGGTTGAACTCCACTGGTAACGGCTTCTCACTAGAACTCCAGGAGTTTTTATTGAAGTCAGTCACTAATGAGCAGTTGATTATTATCAGAATGGGTTTTGTGGAGAGTTTTAGAAATTTCACAGGTTGAAATCATGAGTCAGGTGAAGCTAGACCACCATTGAAAACCTGGAAGCACTTGACGGCCGTTTCGTCCTGGTATGGGACTCCTCAGCGGTGGCGCAACTTCGTGGATTGGTTGAAGTTAGACATTAACACCGTTGGATGCCGGCTCAGTGGTCTAGTGGTTAAGTGCTCGCGCGCGAAGCCAGTAGGTCCTGGGTTCGAATCCCGCAGGGGGCGGGTTCGTGGATGCGCACTGCTGAGGAGTCCCATACCAGGACGAAACGGCCGTCCAGTGCTTCCAGGTTTTCGATGGTGGTCTAGCTTCAACTGACTCATGATTTCAACCTGTGAAATTTAAAGATTTGTTAATTTAGATTTAGACAGTGATTGTGATTGCTTAGGTTTCATCGACTAACAGCTTGAACAGCTATTTAGGCAAATGCTTTCTTTAATCGTTATTATGTTCTTGTATATCATACAGGTTTATATCCACCCACTTCTGGTACAGCTTATATATACGGTCATGATATTCGTAATGATATAGAAGGTATTCATGGAAATCTTGGTTTTTGTTCACAACACGACGTTTTATACGACACATTAACTGTCGAAGAACATCTTTATCTGTCTGCTCACGTAAGCGGTTTTATTTGAGTAAAAGTATCTATCACTATGATATTTTTCCTTCTATACTTCAATACTTTTTTGTACTTGGAATTGTAGATATCAATAATACTTTCAATCCACCTGTTTTCTGACCACATTTTTATTAACTTAACTAATTTTCGATCATAACTTAGTTGTCTGGCGTATGTTTCGATTTTTACTGCATTTCTGTTTCATCGATAATTTGATGTCGCTACTGATGGTTTATCAACTATCTGTACATTGACAGATAGTTCCCATTTGAACATTAAAATTAAAACACGAATTTCAGCGAAGAGATCTCTTTTCAACGAATTTATTATCAAGCTGTACAATCGTATATATATGAAAATTTTCGTTTTTTTTAAGTACTAATTCCGTGAGGAAATGTGAACACAGTTAATAAAAAGGTTATAATACTAGATTACGTAATATGAATAATAACAATAACAATAGATTTAGTGATTATAATAAGATGATTAAAATGTTTTTCACAGGTTGAAATCATGAGTCAGTTGAAGCTAGACCACCATTGAAAACCTGGAAGCACTGGACGGCCGTTCCGTCCTAGTATGGGACCCCTCAGTAGTGCGCATCCACGAACCCGCCCCCTGCGGGATTCGAACCCAGGACCTACTGGCTTCGCGCGCGAGCACTTAACCATTAGACCAGTGCTTCCAGGTTTTCAATGGTGGTCTAGCTTCAACTGACTCATGATTTCAACCTGTGAAATCTACTAAAATCTCCACAAAACTCATTCTGATAAAATGTTTTTGTTATAATAATTAAAGGTCATATAGGTGTAAAAATAAATATGGTGATATGATGAGTATTCACGAATAAAACAATGAGAATATAAGACATAAGTAAAGGGGGGAATGCAGTAATAATAATAATGATAATAATAATAATAATAATAATAATAATAATAATAATAATAATAATAGTAATAATAATAATAATAATTGAATAATCAAAATACTTAAGGCCAAGGTGACGATAACGATAAGACGTACTTCTTTTGTACGCATAGTTCTGGTTTAAGCTCCTGGATGGTAAGAGCTTCGGCTATTTTTAAAAGTTGGATGCGAAGAAATCTGGGTAGATTTGAACGAATCATATAAACAACCTTAAATTCAATTTTTGGATCTGTGGAATGGTTACAGTCGATTAGGTGTTCAAGTATAGAACTCCTAACTGCTTTCCTTTCCCCCTTATAGAACCAAGCAGGAATATGTTCCCGTATCCGAGTTGAAAGCGAGCGCTAGCTACGGCCAATGTACCTTGCTCCACAAGAGCAGGTGAACTGGTAGAGGCACATGGAGGCGACCAGACGCGGAAGCTTATCTTTTGTGGACACAGAAATTAAGTTCCTACTCGTGAAGGTTATTCGCAATTTAGCTGCATTAAATGTTCTTCTAATAGTTGTTGTTAGACGATTTTTGATTACTTCTGATGTTCGATCACCTTTAAACTCCAGACTTATATGAAGGTTTTTCTTCGTAACGGAGCAACTAGGTTTCTTGTCACAACTACTTCTATTCATATTCTTTTCTATGAACCGTTCTGGGTATCCATTTTCCGTCAGGGTTTTCTTGAGGAATTCAAGTTCTTCGTTAATGCATTCTTTACTGCATATCTGACGTATTCGATAACATAAAGAGTGGGTGAAGTTTCTCTTTCTACTTAACGGAACCCAGCTATAGAAGTTGGTTAGCTGTCCATTCCATGTTTGTTTTCTAAAGATGGATCTTTTTAAAGAACCATTACTTCTTCTCATCAGACGTACATCGAGAAAAGGAATTGATTGGTCCCGTTCCCTTTCTAACGTGAAGTCTATAGAAGGGTGGCATGAGTTAATCACTAAATCTATTGTTATTGTTATTATTCATATTACGTAATCTAGTATTATAACCTTTTTATTAACTGTGTTCACATTTCCTCACGGAATTAGTACTTTTAAAAAAACGAAAATTTTCATATATATACGATTGTACAGCTTGATAATAAATTCGTTGAAAAGAGATCCCTTATCTGTACATTGTCAGTTTTCATGTATAAAACCCTACAGTTTTGATCCATAATGTTAGGAGATTCAAATGCTGTTAATTTTGTAGTTTTGTTCTTGGATAAGCAGATGATGATCACATCACAGGTAAGATTTGGGATAGAAAGGAAAGTTTAATTACTTTCCAATTTGAATAAGTTCAGATAGTTGGAGTATGTTTGTACTTATTTTTACTGTATATCTCAACTTGCATTGACTTGATCACGATTAGGATAAAGGGTGGTCAAGTGAACAAATGATACTAAATTATTTACTATTTGATGTTCGTAATCGTTTGGAAAATTTAGTTTTCTTATTTTTTAAGGCAACTCTATTGTTATTCATGTTTATGGATCTGGGTATATATATATATATATATATATATATATATATATATATATATATATATATATATATATATATATAGTTAATGTTAATCAAATTTCACTTGACAGAAGGCTGAATAATCCGATACAAAGTGTCTGTTATCCAACCAAAAAAGTGTGAATCGGCACTTTATTCAAATAAGACTACATAAATCCGGCAAAATCCATTTTTCCCTTGGATTGTTAACATAGCTCACAAGTTGACGTATAGCTGCTTTTTCTATACTGTAAGCACTGAAACAGTGAGTTTTGTATCATTAATGCTTCTATTAATTTTATTTGTTCTTTTTTATTCCTCTTATAGCTCAGAGGCTGTGATAATTCCACTGTCGAACAACAAGTGGAAAGAACTTTAAGAAAAATTTATTTGCGTGACAAAAAGAGTGAGTACACAAAAGCATTGTCTGGTGGAATGAAACGGAGACTATCTATTGGAATGGCCCTAATAGGTGATTCTAAAGTAAATAGTATACAATTTGTTATTTCAGTTTATTTTTTCTGAGAATGACTTACATATTAGAAACAGTGTACTTTATGAGCTATTATGTTGTAATAAATATAGTATATTTGTACTTCGTATTTTCGATATTGTCGACTAAATAAAATGTGAACTGTTGGATCATAAGCTCAATATTCCAAGGGCTGAGAGCTTTCAAGAAAACCTGAATTTCATTGATTCAGTTCGTGAGTACACACTAATGATAAGTCCCATATTAGGACAAACCAGCAGCTCAGCTCCTCCTGGTTTTCGGTAGCACCCTAACTGATATCATTCCAAGACAAATATTATCCACAAATCGAAACAATCTCCATTAAACAGATCATTAGTAAATGATTCATCATCTAAACATATTTGGATTTTTTTCATCATAATATTTGTTTATTCTTGCGTATTCGACCACTGACAGTACACAACATATAATGTTGAATAATTTGGCTAGAAAATACTAATTTTATCGCTTTACCCTTAAAATATATGGATAAGGGAAAGTAGTTCATCGACGTATTAACTCACTAGCCATTTGAGATTCAATCAACTGTATAACTAGTTTCTCAAAATAGTTTATCATAATTAATCGAAAATTAGAGGTTAAATGTATTGATCCAGTGCATGGTACAAAAAGATTATCTAATGAGAAAATGTGAAGAGTCAATTCATCTCCTGTATTCCGGTTTCGTCAAACAAGTTTTCTGAAATACTCCGGTTAAGGTGGGAATAAAACTGCCGCAGGTATAATTCTAACTTTTATCTCTAGTGATCCTTAGTATTATGGTAATAATAAACATTTTTGTTTCTATAGCAGTAAGGAACAAGTGTTGAAATATTATAATTCATCGTTCAGTCGTTGGCCTAAATGATCGAGAAAATGCAGTGTGAGTTTAACCAAAAACATTGAAAGCTTCATTCATCACCTAACCAGGAACATACCTTCTATAATCCAAGTTATTGAATACATTTGTCCATATTAGGTTCTCCGAGCTCTCACTGTCATTCCGGACAAGGTTATCATCTTTTAATGTAGAACATGGACCTAAGAAAATTTTCACAAGTATTAAATTAGTCCATATTGGTGACCTTGTTTGCTAAAAGTTTATTGTGGTTTTGATATCTTTATTGAAAATCACCTCAACCATTATAATGATATACGATCGACTCATTTTATCATTACAAACCATCAGCGTTATTCGACTTTCCAATTACATCTTAAATTAGTCTTTGATAGCAATCTAAAATGGTTCTATGGGAATTCCACGGGGATTGTCTCGTTTATCCGCCATCTAATGAGAGGCTTTTTAAATTCGAATATGTTTATGATTACTTCCTCACTGTTGAATACCGTACAGGCTACTGAAGCATTTCTTGGTGTTTCGTTGCATTAATTTCTTTTGTTGTAGCCATAAGTGTTAGTACACTATTTATTCACTAATACGTTATTCATGTTTTACATTTCCTTGAAATATGTCTCTTCAAATCAAAATACTATGAGATTAAGTCTTTGTGTGTAAAATATCAATCCTTTTAAAAGTAATTCATTACATGAAAGATGGACCAGTTCTCGATTTTACCATATAATTAGTCATAGACATTGCTGTTTTTTTCTTTGTAGGTTCTTATATTAGACGAACCTACCTCAGGATTGGATCCTGAAGCACGTCGTCAAGTGTGGGATATACTGCAAGCTGAGCGTCAACAGAAAACAATCCTAGTTACTACACACTATATGGATGAAGCTGACCATTTAGGTGACCGTATCGCAATCATGGCTGGCGGTGAACTCAAGTGTTGTGGATCACCACTGTTCTTGAAAGCAAAATATGGTATATTAGATCACATTGCCATTCCTTTTTTATGGTAAATATTATCACCCCTAGGTGTTGAGAACAGTCAGTCAATATGTTCATCGTAACTAATTAAATATAGCTGTGAGAATCCACTAAAGCATCTGAAAAATCACGAATCCTTTAAAAACTCTAACATATACGGCATTAAATAATGAGTAGTGTTATATCACCAATCGACGTCTAAGTTGTTGGCTCAATGCGGAACAACCTTGTTGGATCGTAATTCGGAGTGGCTTGCGTTGGAACTTAAAAATAGGTTCTTGGTGGCTATGAGTAGAATGCAAAACACATTTCTTACACTTACTAATCTCACTCAATGCATTTTTTTGTCAACGGTTTACTGCTGTTTGATAAAACTATAGATTTACCAGGTGATTTATCAAAACTTGTTGGATTGCCATAAAATTTAACATTTCAAGTCAATTTAACTTCTTAACTGTAACTTTTATTGTATGGGAGTTATTTTTCGAACCTGTCTATTTGTTTTTCTTTGTTTCATATATTTTTACCTTAATAATCAAAGTACTCGGCTTCCAGTTAATAAAGTTTAGTTTTTTTTACCCCGTAAAGCTTACATCGGCTTAAACAACCAGTATCAGTAGCTCTCACATGGGAAAGCGTTGTTGAAACTCGAGTAAATGAACTTGTGTGGGATAAACATATTAAAAACTAAGTATTTCGAAATAAACGTAAAATACGCTACCAATTTATAGTAAATATCCCGATAGTGATAAACACCTTTTACTTTGAGTTTTATCACTTTTCAGGTGCCGGTTACTTACTGTCTATCGTCAAACAATCCAGTTGTTCATCTGATTATGTATTAAAACAAGTTAAACATCACATCCCTAATGCATTTACACGCAGTGATTATGGTGAAGAGATCCGCATACTGCTACCATTAGAATCAATAGATAAATTTGGAAATTTATTTGAGGATCTGGAGTCAAATAAAATTAGTTTGGGCATTTCAAGTTTTGGTGTATCTGTCACAACAATGGAAGAAGTATTCTTTCAGTATGTGGTTTTACTTATAGTCTATTGTTACTGTTTCCTTGTTAACCCATCACATTTTGCAAAATAGTATAGGTTAACTCCACTTCAAGAACTCTCCGTCGAATTCATTCAAAGTTGGAAAATGAATAGTTTTACCCTGTGAAAAACATATGTCACTCTTATAGCTGGAATTCTGAAACCATTTGGAAATTATTTCATATATTAGCGAACAGACTTACCTCGTTCCATCGTATGCAGACCAAAAAGAAAAACATTCCAGGCATCCACACTTACATTAGCCGTCAGATGATATTGTAGTTCTCCCAAATATCATCCTATGTAGACAATTCCATAAAGGGAAGTCGATAAGACAATCGCGATACATGTCATCAATGTGTTTACCGATAGTTTTATCCCTTCCTATACTTATCATATTTTTAATCTACAATAAATATTAAACAACCATTTATTTAATCAACTAAGCTATGAACTGTTTACTGTGTCCTTTTTTACTGCCTGCAGACACATGTAATGTAAGCAGAAAGTGAGACAGTAGAAGCCTTTTTAGTTACTCATTCATTTAAATCGTCACTTTTTACTGATAATATCCGTATAATAGGTTGATTACACTAGTTGTCAGACTGCTAAATAACAAAGCCTTATCAGCCAGTTGGTTATAGTTAGTGTACGACCTGATGCGAAAAGTGTATCAGTTCAAGTTTACGAATCCCATATGAACACAGTGATGAAGGGAATTGATATGACTTCTCGATTAAACGCTAATTTTTATATCTGATTATTATGTCAGAATCGCTTATCACTTATTCTTGTGAAGCGAGGAACCACTGCAATTCCCACGACGTGAAAGTAAGAACACAAAGACTGATACAAGTGATGATTTATTAACCCCAAAACACGACAACGTCTACGACTCTAGTCAAAAGTACACTCATTTATATATTGATTGTACACACACTTTGATTAATAATTAGGATGAAATCACGTATATGAAAAACACTTCTCATTCTACATGTCATACTAAGCATAGTTCATGTCAATTTCTAATACAAGAATATCGTATATTATACAAAATAAAATATACGAGAAAACAAATACACTTAGTGATTATCACATTGATTTAAAAAAAAACGGAATTAATATTGAACAAAAACCATAATAAGTAAAAGAATGACACTAGATATTCAGGGAAAGATAAATAATGATTGCTGCTGGAGCACTCCAACCGATTTTGCGTCATCATAAATTACAATTACTTTATGGCCCCGAAGCAAGAATTATCTTTCCCGATACATCTTAGGTAAACATCAATTGATTCCATATCTTGACCTGCTCACCTATCGCTTTTCGCTGATCTACCCTGTGAACCAGCATTACACTTTAAGGCACGCAGTGGATAGAAATGTATAACACCTAATCCGTTATGTTTTGCGATCCCTTACAGTAATCTCTAACTACGAACATTTGGATCTGTGAAAACTTGGTAAACCGCATATTTGACACCCAATGGTTCAGCAACGATCTCCGATTCAGCAGAAGGCAAAGAGAAGTCAGAAAACCAATAAAAGCTTGATGCTCAATAAATCAAACGTGAATTAGAACAGAAGTGTATAAATCGCAATAAACATGAATCTGGGACACGTAAAATTACAAAACAAGAAGTGACAACAACCAATAAAATGACAACGAACCTGAGTGCGGAAATATGAATTTGAAAACAGTCATCGCTGTTATTTATGCACGTAGCAGTTAACCCCCAATAATAAGAAAAGATTATGACCAAACATCTTAGCACGACTGCCTCAGCTAATGAAGGTTTATTGTCCCGCCAGTCATGTTGTTATTCTTACTCTGTATTCTACCCTTTACCTTACCATTAATCACTTGGTGACTCCATAACTTAAGGACACCTGAAACAAAATAATAATCTACTCTCATTGACCATATTTTGCAATCGTAGAGCAATTTGTTAAGGACTCCCGTCTAGTATGCGAAACCATATTATTATCAGTAAGTGAGATCGTAAAGTTGTATCAATCGAGCTAGTTGACATTTCCACTCGTTCCTAAGTTTTACATACAGATTTATTCCACATTTATTGAAGTAAAGACTGGACATTAAAAATAATGAATGTCTAGTTCAACCTAATGGTCTAAAATTAACAATGGTTCCACCGTTCCTTGATATATCACTGTACTAAAAAGAGAATGTTGTTTTTGTAATAATAATTGTCTTATTAGTACTTCTTTATCAAATATTTGCTCGTCTTACTCTAAGGTTTTGTTGAATCCTGATTTTTCACAACAAAATGTACACGAAATACGTATACATTATCATGATTGCTAAATTAATTATTATGAAAAAAGTAATATCAGTGTTTGTAGCATTTTTCTATTTGTTTATTTTCTTTCAGAGTTAGTAAGCAGACGAATATAGTCAGTTGTTGCAGTCGCGAAACTCGTGAGAGAAGATGCAAAACAACTGAACAAAGCCGATGTACACCAGAAAGTTAGTTATTCTAGAAATTTGTATTCGTGTACGGTTACAAGTATTCTATTTTGAAATGAATGATATGCTTTCGTCTACCATACAAGACATCCACAAATCAAATGTTTGACTACTACCACCGATTCAAATTTGACTTAAAGTGAAATAAAGTGTAATTGAAAGCGATACTATTTACACTCACAACTTGTCACACGTTAATCCGTCATATATTCAAAACGGTTTTTTGTCAGAATACTAAATACTAGTATGAAAGCTTAGTGATTAGGAATCAAACATACACTAACTAACAATACTCCATTGTTTTTCAAAATGTAGGATGTTCTACTTTTGTCTAAAAAACGCTATGTATAAAATATATCTTCCACTCATTTATATTTTGAAGTAATAGCCTTGACTTTTAACTTTCATCTCAGTCTTTACAATCATCAACGAATAGATGAATATGGCCCTTGAATGCTCTGGTATGGCCGAGGGTGGAGAGAGTCGACCCTCCCTCTCGAAATACTCACATGGCCACGTGCATACAACCACTCCTAAGGAAGTCCCGTTTACGAAATTCAGACGAAGAAAAGCGAATGTCCGGTGCTTTAATCGGGTTGGTGGTCACTGAGGGTCCACCTAGGAGAGTTGGAAAACCCTGATTCCGAACCTATGGTGCACATGGGCTCCAGGATCATGAAGGAACAAATGGCGTATGAGCCGGCTACCATGGGACTGCATCTCCTAACGTTGCTCTACTTTCTAGTAGATTAAACCTTTAGATCGAAGGCTCCTGGTGTGGCTCCCTAAGTAAAACACCCGCCTGTGTCTGGGCACCAAATAGTATCACAACTCCCACACAAATCAAGTGACTTGTGTGGCGCATATGTATTCGGTGCCCCTTTTATTTGTTTGAATAAATAAATAAAATGAATATGATACATAAAACACAAAATCATTATTGAAATCACGAACCGATCAAAGTTAGCCATTGATAAACTGGTTTTCTAACTTTGTTCTGTTCGTTATTTCAATGGAATTCAACAATTTCTACAATCTCATGCTGATAAGATCATTGACGGAACTGGAGTCTTAATTTAAACTTTTAACTGAATTTACGACGTATAAAATATCATCAACATCTATATAAATAACTCACTAAGCTTATCCCATCACAGTTAAATAAATTTAAAATCACCTACCAGTACTACGAAAACCTGCTAACCATGATTCTCATTCCATCGATCAAATAAGTAAAAGCACAACGTCAATGACTGAAATTTACTTGATACAAAACGTGAGAAATTACATCATTCCAAAAGTGCTGATCATTGTATACAGTTTACATTGATGTAGTGATGTGACTCGTTCATTTAGTTAAAGTTAAGGTAGCGCAATAAAGCAGATCATTTTATTTCAATTAACTGACAACTAGTTGGGTCATCGATTTATAAAATCCCGCTACATATTACATTCATACTCACAAGGATATTGACCTTAAAGGATATCCGTTTGTCTTACTGTTATGACGGTTCACATCTGACATTTTTAGCCCATTTTCTCTCCCATTTTTCATCGAATAATTTCTAAGGTTTTTATCTCCAATTACTATCATCTCAACTGGTAACAGTGATTTGAGTGTACAGATTATTCTTTAAAAATTCCAGATTCATACATATATTATCGACCATATAGCTTACTTTTTTAAGCATAGAATATTTTGTAAATTGGAGAGAAATTTTCCACTAAGTTGTCACGTTTACGTTGAAAAAGATTGTTTTTTCATTGCAAAGTACAGATGGACTTTTTTCCACTTATAATGATTAAAGGTATACATGACAACTTATCACCAATTCGAATAATTATCAAAACTTAAACAAACTTACCTATTAGCTTGATCTATTTGTTTCACTTAATCGTCTCTCCCCTTATGTATCTTTTTTATCCAGCTAAAGTCGGTCATAAACAACTACGCAGTCAGGGCTTTTTATTCTACCGCCAACAATTTTGTGCTTTAATGATCAAGCGTTACATATTCACAAAACGCAATTTAATATTCGTTCTCAGTCAAATTGTTGTACCCATTGCGTTCACCTTGATCGCTTTATTCATATTTCATCATTTACTAAATAAAAACAATTCACTCGATCCACGTTTGGACTTGTTATTAAAGCCTTATGGTAAAGATTTGTTACTTACATTTAGCAATGAAGCTGAGGGTTGGGAAAAACGTCAAAACACTGATCAGTTTATTCAGTCCTATATGCGGCAGTTTGATAGTAAGCAAGTTACGCCAATTGAATTCAATACATCCACAGGAAGTTATGAAGTGAGTGTCCGAAGTGTTACTTTCGTATGATTCTAGTTTGTTGGCATTACCACAAGCTTTTGGTGATCCTAGTAACTACTGTTATTATCAATTATGATTGTAAATTTAACTTTTATAATCTGTTCAACTCAAATATGTTTGTCTTCTTCTTCTTCCTCTTGTCAGCTATCTTATTTAGTAGAACATTCATATAATTTGTATTTTGTTCAATAAATCGTTAGAACGTTTTAAATAATCCTAAAAGAGATGTTTCGCCAATTCTTCTTCAGTGCTCTTTGGTTTTAGGGGATTTATGGTGTCTTAAATCATATGGTTTAAGTTAGTCTTTCTTAGCTGAGCTACAGGTGCTCATACCATCAATTGAGTTAAAGTTCTTTGATCAAACACTTTTGGCCAGAACAGATCCTATGGTACATGATCATTCAAATTGATCGCTTCGAGTGCTATTCGTCAAAGCGTTCAAGTTTCTCTATTGAGATAGTGGAGAATATTTGTATTTCAGAATGAGTTCTTAACAACTTCATCAGCACGTGCTCCAGAAATAAGTGAGCTATTAGAATTTCTCTAAAATTGACCAACACCAAGTTCTGCTGGCCCAACCCATGTCAATACGTGGTGTTCACCACGGTCACTCGCTTTCTTTATTTTTATTTAGCTTTGTCATAGGCATCCTTGTAGAAATAATGCTCTCATAGTCTGATTTCAGGAATTGATCGATCAAGAGACCCACTTATCGACTTAGAATATCCAAGTGACATAATCCGATTCGGTGCAGATGATGACCAAAGGCAGAATCTTATGATCGTCCTAAGCAACAATCCAAACATGCTTGAATTATGTTTCTCTCCCTATAAATCCAAAATGTTGCTTTAGGATTGACCCACGTCAACACCTAAACCAATGTTAGGGAGTGAAGTATTTTAACATGTCGATCACTTTACTTATCTTGAAAGTCACATCAGCCCTGGTGGGTTGATGTCTGACGAAATCTCGATACGAATTCAGAAAGCTCAGTTGGTTTTCGCCAACTAAAGAACGAGTATACTATGTAGCATTTCGCCTTGTTCTACTCTATGGCTGTGGAACGTTACCTTCAAAATAGAGGATATTCGTAGGCACTAGTATCCGATCATAGATGTCTTCGAAGCATTGCTCATGTATTTAGGTACCGTTTAGTTAGCAATTCTGAGACTAAACACAAAATATCAGGTAAGAATGGGGAATCAATTGATTGACATAGTAAATGTATCACATATTCCCATCCACCAACTACCTTGACAGGTGTTGTCTGGTGTAATAAGTCGGAAATAGACTAGGAGCTGCCAAACCAACACATCAGTTCATAACTACCCTTATTCTTGAACTGAAACACGTACCTAAATCCAGAGTATCTCGTAAAATGTTTTTTTTATCACCATTCTACGAATTCATGTTTTTTTCTGGAATCTTATCTTCTATGTGTTACGTTTTCTACTATCGCTAATACCGTTGCTACTCTGGGATTTGTTTTGACAATTTCATCTCGCTGTGCTAACGAGTTGTGACAATATGGACCTATTTACAGAGGAATCAAGTTCTACGTTACACATGGCTGATTGAAACACTGATGCGCGATAGGATATGATTCAACTAGATGAATCCATTGATTTTAAACATTATGGAATCGTAATTTTATATCCTCTCTATTGCTTCTCGGTTCTGTAAATATTAATGACTAATCGAAATGCTTTTTTGTTTTTTGAATGAAGTACAAACAGATTTCTCAGTTAAAATTTTAGTCACTTCTATCCATCTGTTAACCAGGATCATCTACTGAAACAAATAGCCATTCCTCACTTGTTTTACTTCCGTCTCAAATCAATTATCGGGCTAGTGGTTGATACAAAATCAACTCTCAAAGACCAAATCATTTCATTACGTGCTTACTTTCAAGGTGAATCATTTCATGCTGCTCCAATTTCTTTGAATGCAGTCGTGAACGGATTTTTACAGTACCTAACTTCAGTTAATCAGGTGATTTTCAAGAATATATATATGTATAAAAATATTTGCTTCTGGAGACTTTTGAATATATTATTATCATAAAATTATGACAAATTAAGTAAGAACAGATCTTGGTTCTACTGGCTTACATTATTTTACACAAAGTAACTTCACATCAGTGCTCCATGTCTGATCAGATCTCAATGTGTCCTAATCTTGTTCAAACTGCAGTATATCGTTATCTTTTTATGACTCACTGTCCACTGATGTACATCGTTCTTATAAGCAAATTATTTCGTATTTGCATTAAATCATTTTGAATTCACCAAATAAGAAAGTAGAATCCCCGTATTCCAACTTCTATGCCCAGAGTATCGAAAATGACTCGATGTTTCTAGTTGTCTCCTTGGTAATGTCAATAGGTGAATTCCCGAAGTTCTAGTGAAAACCGTCACCGATGAAGTTCACCCATATCCAAAGGAAAGATTTCACCATACTGTCGTAAATTGATTGGGTTTGGAAATTTCAAATGTTAGATTCCGACTCAATGGTAGAAAACATAATTCTCTCCGAGTCCTTGATTGTTCCCTAACGTAATAAGTCAACATAAGCACCTAGTTTCATGTGAAATGTATTACATTAAAGAATGCTCGCTAAATTTAGAGTGGTTACCACGTTATGTGGCAAAAAAAATAAAATGAATAGTACAGAAGCTAACGTACGCCCGATGGAATAAAATAGATATTTGATAACACTTTATAATTTGTAATATATTCTTTTGATTTTGGATGTCATTAAAATGCTTCAAAAAATCGCTTCGGCTTGATCATTAAAGTATTAACCTGCGTAGTTGCGCTAAAATTAAATTTAAGTATTGCTTCTTTTGAGAAATTAGTTCAGGAGACAACGTAAATCGAAATGGTTCATTCAAACATATTGATAAGTGGTTTTTTGAGTATTTAGACTTCAACTACATTTTCCTTAATATGAAAGCAATAATATGGATGCATTTTTGAAATCAGATTCAAATATTAAAAAAACTCATCCTGACAATCCAATACAGGTTTTATTCAGCTCTCAAAAAGCAAAACCCCTGTCAGTGTTCGTACTTCGGAAATTATTAGTCAATCACATGAGTCATTTCACTGTAACCAGATTACTGAAATTATCGTTTGCCTTTGCCTGGTGCTTACTAACCATTTGGTATTTTTTGTTTTCAGACAATATGCCCTGGTCTAACTACTAACAACAGTCCGCCACAAATTTATGTATCTAATCAACCTCTGCCTGAAACCAAAGAGGAACGTGCCAAACAGATTGATGAAATCGAAGGTCTTATGCGCGTTGTAGTAGCAGGCTTTCCATTAGCGTCGAATATTCTATTCGCTGCGTCCTATTTGGCCTCTTGTTTTGGTTTCTTTCCAGTTTATGAAACTGTAACTAAGGCGAAGCATTTGCAATTTGTTTCTGGAGTAAAATTAGGTAAGCAAAATATGTTCTGACGCCACCCCTTTCTCCTTACTATTGAAAATCCTTATTTCCACAATTTAACATTAAATGCACGGCAATTTTTGTATTTTTTTTCGAGTGGAACTTTTTTTCATCCCTTTTGGAAAAATATTTCATCTCCATCTACCAATAATTTTCATTATGTTTCGTCCAATCAAATAGCTAGTTTTTAGTCCATTATGATTGGTCGTTTATTTCTTAAAGTCGATATAAAACGTCCGGACTTGATGACAGCACATTTTCTTCCAATTATGAACGGTAGTAACGTGTAAAGCACGAACTCGATCGTTCCTCACATTGTCACAAAAACCGATAACCTGTTCTTGAGCACATTGTATCTCGTAGCGTTCCAATCTCTTGAAGCGTTGAAGAGCGCCATTAGAACTTATAAAAGAGCTACGTACTGCCATTATGTGGTGAGGGATTCTCATTTCCATAGAGATCGGAAGCCGTATATTAGATTCATATGTTGGAGAAATGGCCGTAGAACACCTAGCGGTTCCTCACAGCCGAGTAGACGAACGACGTAATTTGATTAGTGTTATTATAATTTTTCATTAAGGACTACCGTGAACACTCAATGTCCTTTCTTCATCTTTTGTAAGTTTATTGAAGATTACTGGACTGTTGTTCGTGGGAATTTGCATCACAATCACGAGTGCAATTCCCTAAGGTACCAAAGTGATTCTTGGATGCGCAGGTTAACGGAGGTGGAATTTGAAACAGTGAAACCACTTTTGATATCTGGGACAGCAGCATTCAACATTATGCACTTTGTTTACCAATCTTATAGAAAGCGCATTAATGCTGAAAATGTTTTTAATGTGTTCTCACAAGCCAACCTCCCTGGTAAGCAATGTACCTATTTAAATTGTAAACGTTAGGTGATTACTCCGAATTGAAAGATCACATCATGTCGCTTGGTGGCCTTTGTGAATACGACTTAGATGGAGATAATTGTCTGTTGTATTTCTTCTTCACAACAGCAGATCAAATGAATTTATCAACTCGATTTTTTGATGTTTTTGGTTTTGATGGGACCTACAAAACCAATAAGGAAAACTTATATTTGTATCAGGTTGTAGCACTTGATATGAATTTCATGGCAATACCTGTTTGTATTGCATTCATAAGTTGCGAAACACCTAGTTTACTTGCTCAATTCCTGTCGTTCTTCTGCCGATCGACTAACAATCGAGAGTGGTAGGCATTGTAACAGATGATTCACCTGCAATAGCTGCTGCCATTATGCAGGTGTATCCCAATTACCACCACATTTTGTGTCGCTTACACCTGATTCGTTATGTGGTAAGGAGAGTAAGTTTTTCGTTGCTTAACATTAAGCCATTAACCGTCATTGTAGAGGCTACGAGCAGAAACTGTACAACTTTTCTTCCGTCTGATGTTCACTAGAAATGCCGAAAGGTAAATAAAAATATGCATTACAGTCTTTCGTAGTTTCCATAGTTATCTTCCATTAATTGAAGTATCACACGGAAATTTTTGCTGATATGTGGGAGATCACGTTTTGCCTAAAAAGAACAAGTGGTCAAATGCTTTTCGACCAAGTAATACGAATTTCGTTGAGACAACTCATCGGATTCTTAAATTGCATAAGCTGAACAGAAGAACACCCGTGTTGAGATCAATATTCAGTGTGCTTCTTCGCACTGGATATTGGATGGATGCGCGATTCGAGAAGTACTATTATGATTGTAGAGAGCAATTTCCTACAGGTTTAATTCTGAGCTATTCTCTAGACCGTCGAATACAGAGTCTTGGTTTGGTCAAAGTCAGAACAAGTAAGTTATTTGGCTATATAAACTTTATCTTTTTCTAAAACATAAATTTACATCGTTAGTGTACAAACAAACAGTACGGTCTATTAATACAGGGAAAAACAGAGACAAATAACATACCGAACAGTGGCCAGAGAATAGGAAAAATGAGTCAACAAGCCAATGTTGTTTTACAATGAACATTAGACTGTGATTGGTTAATAAAGAGATACAGTTGTACAAGGTCAAAAGGAGTTAATGTGGTGGTGGGCGTTTCCCTTTATTATTGGTGGGTTCGTCTATCGATCACATTTTACAGTGATTGTCGTAATAAAACAATAATCGGTCGGGAGCCAGTGATATGTCGTCTTCAGGAAAGACTTACGCCAGCTGCATGTTAACTACTGCAGCGGCACTACTATAACTGAGGTCGTAATGTCCGTGGACTTGTCCACGGCTGTTGATGCTACAGGCACTTATACAGTCTTCAGTAATCTACTCAATTGTTCATGTGATCTTTACATTGAAAACCGAATACCATGTTGTCATATTTCAGACTACTTCATACGCAGTAATACTGAAGTGAACACTCATTTAATTAGTGATAGATGGTTGCAATCGAACAGCTACATCACCAGCGTTGCGATTGACAATTACTTCTCTATTCAAATAGGACAGGCAAGTGTAAGAAAATCGTTGTATGTTTTAGTTAGGCGTATGTCCTAAGAGCAATGTACTATCAAAGCATATCAAGTTGTTTACGGTAGGATACCTCCAGCGCCATCGACTTTACCTGCTGTTACAGAGTTTCAGATCGAAACCTCTACTTCCACTAATGTTAAAATGTCGTTGATCCATCAGACAGCAGTTACCAGCTCTCAACGTAACGTCGATATGGATGCAACGTTAAGCAACGACGAGGAAGAAATTGTTTTGATTAACTCAGAGGAGTTCACTGAGCTAGACGACGATAATGACGAAAACGCGTATGACAACAGACTGTGTGATATTTGTCATCTTGCTCAACCGCCACATAAAACTGTTGATGGAAGTACCTGAATTTTTGTCGATGCGATGCAATGTTTCATTTATTTTGTGCCTACGACCCATCACCACTTGTCCATGGAATCCACTGTCCCATGTGCGGCGCTATAACGGAGTCATAGCAACTTTTTTGTTCATGAAATTCGGAAGTGTTAAGAGAACCAGTAAAGGCACTTTTCAGGGTCACCCACAATTTGATTTAAATTCTTTTGTTTCAATTCCTTATTTCCATAGCGAAGGTCAAGTGATCAAACCCTCAAAATTCATTTAAGATTAATAATCATTATGTGATTATCGCCCACGTATTCGTAAACGCTTTTTAAGCTTTATCAAATATACGGTTTAAGTAAACGATTTCGTATAGGAAACTTCATCTACGGAACATTCATCTGTCTAACAATAGTACATGCAAAACTTATTCAGAATGTTTCAGTGTTTTGTCATATAGTTACGATAGGCGAATGTAAGAAATAAACGACCAATTATAATGGACTCAAAACTAGCTATTTGATTGGACGAAACATAATGAAAATTATTGGTAGATGGAGATGAAATATTTTTCCAAAAGGGATGAAAAAAAGTTCCACTCGAAAAAAAATACAAAAATGGTGTACGGTGGCGCAACTTCGTGGATTGGTTGAAGTTAGACATTAACACCGTTGGATGCCGGCTCAGTGGTCTAGCGGCTAAGTGCTCGAGCGCGAAACCAGTAGATCCTGGGTTTGAATCCCGCGTGGTGCGGGATCGTGGGTGCGCACTGCTGAGGCGTCCCATACTAGGACGAAACGGCCGTCCAGTGCTTCCAGATTTTCCATGGTGGTCTAGCTTCAATTGACTCATGATTTCAATCTGTGAAATTTATTGTTAACCTCCGTTTTATTTTATTTGATATTCAAGACACTGATATCATCAATTAGCATACTTAATTGTATCTTCGGCATTGTTTAGCTCACTCACATTTCATTCGTGTTGTTATTTCTAAGAATTTATCCATTCAAACGGTATAGCTCTCACACTAGCTAACTGATATATAATCGTTGGATTTTACAACGATTTATCACTATGAAAAAGGACGAATCAATAGTAAGTTTTGGTGTTTGTTCTTTATTATTTGGTGTTACTATTAAGAGGGGAATAAATATTGCACATAATTATTTAGATTCTGACACCGATTCAAAGCATCGATGCTCATTAGGTCTCTTTGATATTACTAAAGTTTTGGATTTACGCATACATTCCACTTTATTCAGAATCCGAACAGATCACTGGTTTCCCCGATTGTCGCGTACTTGTTCATGCATTCATTCACTGAAAACAGGCTGAAGCTCAGTGTCCCCATTAACTTAAAATATGATTAGGATACGCAGATGACACCTTTATTATTACAAAACGAGGTGAATTAGTCAAAATGTTTAAAAGCATCAACAGCATATCTGATGACATCAAGTTCACTAAAAAAATCGAATTCGCTGACCTCAAACTATCATTTTTTGACCGTTTGGTTAAAAGGAAACAGTAATTGATTGAAAATGAATATACTCCGAAAGCCAACACCTAGGAACTTTATAAGAAGAATAATTAAGAAATTCAAAAAAATATTCGTAAAGGTAAGCAAAAGGATGCATCGATATGGAAATGATCCCATGTCTCAAAGGAACCTTGGCAGAAATCGGACGAATCCTGAATCATCATAATATAAGAGCATTTTTCCGAATGAACAATACTGTTAACTGTAGACTAGTAAAGGTCGAAAACACAATATCAAGGGAAAAACAACTGTATTGTGTCCATGCGATCAAATTTAATGACCAATGCTACATATATAGGTGAAGCATCACAGCACTTGAGTGTGAGAATGACGAGACACAAACTTTGCTTGATGCATATTCCTAAATCCTTAGATCTTTTTTTAAAAAAACTAGAAAACAATTAGGGCGATCGCACTACGTTCAATAGAATCTAAACACACAGTTGACTTCAATGGAACAAGAATCCTTTTAAAAGGCTTTTGGTTCATATGAAGAAAGATTGACAACTGAGAACTCAAATAGTATGGATAGAAAAGATGAAAAACAATTATCTGTACCATGGTAACTGATAACTTCTAAATAGATCTGAATTTGATCTTACTACTCCTAATTCGTCTCATGTCTGACAGGCGTTAGATGAGTTATATATTCTCCTATCCTTATTATTATTATTATTGTTATTACTATTATTATTGATTGTTGTTGGATTGTGTCGCCTTGTCAGTCCTGGGTGTGAAAATATATTTACGTCCTATTTAGGCTAATCACGTGTTCTTGATCTGAGTCCCGTAGAGTAGACACTGGAAGGGAATGTAGTGTAGACATTCGTCTTAGATAAATTAACGTCCTATTCGTAAAGACGAAGAAAATCCGACCGTTATAAAAAAATCTATCAGATTGTTTAATTATATCAACAATCATAGCCTGAGGCTGCTGTTTGAAGAGAATAAGAGTTCACCTAATCTACGAACAGAACGAAGACTCAGTGTCACAATGACCAATAAGCTAATTACTCTGATACGTCCCAGCCCCGCTAACTAGAGAGAAGTTCAGGTTCAGAATAGGGAAATTTATTGCATAAACAGCCAGAAAACAGTAAAAAAAATCTATAATGAGCACAACTCAAGAGTATATATACAGCATTAAAAGGTCCTTGGGAAATGTTACAAATAGTATATTAAGAGACAATGAACCAATAACATTTAAGGTCCTCCCAAGTGGAAAATATGACATGAAGATGAAAATGGGTGCTTTTGGCCCGAAAACGAGAAATTCAAATTTTTAAAATATAATTTAAAAAATAAGATTTTTACCAAGTGAGTAATGGGAATCTAACATCCCCAACAGAAGCCATATATGGTTAATAATTTTTTCTCACGTCAAATTTGTGTACATACACATATGCTTTCTACCTTACCGAAATTTCTCTATAATTATTTACACATGACTAATACCCACACTACAACAAACAATACTTGGGCAATTTGTTTAGTACAAAGTCAATTTGTAAACGAAATGTTTGATTATTTCTACTGAAGAAACTTGGATTAGACAGCCGGGAGGAACATTACGTCCATGTTTGAACTTCAACTGCTGAATTTGTTTCAAAATATAACTTCCTTGTTTTATATCTTCCGTAAACTCGGCGCCAAACTATTGTGTAACTAACTATTCGTTAAAATTTAAACGAAAATTGGAATAAACTATTGTAACCTAATTAAATAGATTAGGATTTTAAATTCCTAACTAATCTATGCACATTTATTTCCTAACTACTTCCTTAATTTTTGTAATAATAACAAGTTACTTTTGGAATTATTCTTTTTCTACCAGCACTCTACTGGATATCTATCTATGTGTGGGATCTGTGCATATTTTTTCTATCCGTTGGTTCTATATTATTGTGCTTTATGGCATTCAATTTGGAACAGTTTGCTCTTGGTGAAAGGTTTCACAATTTAGTTATATTATTTGGATTGTTCATTTGGGCTGTATTACCGCAAACATATTTGTTGTCTCGACTATTCCGATCACCTACATCTGGTTTGGTTTGGATTACAGCTATCAATGTATTCACTGGTTAGTTAATTACAGTGTTTACACTTTATTATTATTATTTAACTTTGTTAAGTAGGACGGTTCCTGTTCCTTTATCAGGTTTCGAAATGATCAAATTTTCGTGAACATCACTCGGCAAAAAACGCTCGGATTATTTGGTTTCATACAATGCGATTTTTACTAGTGTTTCAATATCTAATATTTTCTATTTACCCGTCGTCCGATTTTCGCGACACTGTTCAATTTTTGACAAAAACCAAGTTAAATGTACTTGTATTCGTGTTAATGTTACCACTGAGCCTTGAACTTAGTACCCACTAATTAAATGGGTTACTGAATTACCACAACCGTAACACATACAACAGGTATTCGCATTATCAGTGACTCCAAACCTCATAAATTATTGAACCAGAAAAAGAGAAAATGCAAGTGACAATTACAGGACATTCGTCTGGCGCGGAATTACAAACTATTAGAAAGGAAGGTTTAAAATAATTTTCATCTCACGGTTTAAACGAAGACGCGCTCGACTACTTCACTTCCTGTCCTTAGTTCAGATGTTGATGCAGGCCAGTCCTGAAGCAACAACTTGTATTTAGAGTGGCAGAAACGCATCCCAAACATTCTGGCATTGTTGTTCAGTGCTATCAAAAGACCCGGCATTTCATCAGCGTCTTCATCAAACAGGACTACATCATCTGCGTATTCTAAGTCGGTAAGTGTACCTCCTGGTAGGAGATCAATGCCCGAAAATCCAGTCGATGCGAGCGTTATTTCCATCAGTAGGTCTATGATGAAGTTGAACGAAATGGAGAAAGTGGACAACCTTGACGGACACCACTTGAGGTTGCAAAAGCAGATGACATTTCGCCATAACCTCTGACTAGTAGTGTTCGAGTAAAGAGCCCTCACAAGATTCACACACTTCTGAGGTACACCTTTCAATGAAAGACACTGCCACAGAATCTCTCGGCCTTCGGAGTCAAATGCTGCTTTTAAGTCGAGAAAGACCACCATTGTCGGACGCCGATAAGCATGCCTGTGTTCTAAAACCTGACGAGTGGTGATTATGCGGTCGATGCAGCCACAACCAGATCTGAAGTCATCCTGATTTTTTCGTGTTTGCAGTCCACGAAACTTAGTTAGGCGTTCTATAATTATTGATGCTAGTATTTTAGATGCTATATTAGTCGAACTAATCCCTCTATGGTTGTTACAGGATGATTTTGACCCGTTCTTATATATTGGGACAATCAGTGATTGTGACCGTTCAGATGGAATTACGTCCAACTCTCAGATTTCAGCTTGAATATTAGTTAATCCATATGAACCAGCTACTCTTCCTCGTTTCAGATCAGTTATAGCATTTTGAAATTCAGCTAGAGTCGGGGACGTACTTCAATATTCAATTCACGCTGTCTGGAAATGGTGGATAGTTGTAGAGTAGCTGAAGGCCAGCTGAACTGCTGTTTAAAGTGTTCCCCCCATCGTTCTCAACGTGTGGGCTGAGAGTAGATAAGAGTGTCGTCTTTTTCCGATGTTGTGTCACGTGGTTTCAGAAAGACTTTCGGCATTTCTATTCGGTGCATACATTCATCTTTCGAGCAGACAGTGACTCGAGAACGTTTAGGTAGAACAGAGTTTCCACCATGGTCGAGCTGCTGATTATGTTGAAAAAAGGGGATATATGATGTGAGAATACCCAAGCCATGCAATCCTCTCTCTATAAGTTGGCAATCAGTGTCTGTAGGTATGGTTTGTGCTTCTCACCTTCTATGTGCAAAGTAATTTTGCAAGACTGATAGGACCCTGATTCTGCAATCACTCTGGGTAGTGAGCAGGTAGAAGTAGTTGATAAGTTCGTGCATTTAGGTAGCTGCATAAGTGCTGGTGGTGGCGTGAGTGATGAGATCAGTGCGCGTATAGTGGAAGCCAGAGCGGCTTATGCTAATCTGGGCCATCTTTGGCGCCTTCATGATGTTAGTCTGACTGTAAAAGGTCGGATCTACAACGCGATGGTGAGAGCAGTTCTGCTCTATGCTTGTGAAACCTGGCCTCTCCGAGTTGAGGATGTTAGACAACTCTCTGTGTTCGATCATCGCTGTCTCCGAAGCTTTGCTGAAATCTAATGGCAACACCATGTTAGTAATGCAAAGGTTCAGCATTGTGTGTTCGGGCGCAGAGACGATAATCCAATTGGTGTCACCATCTTGAAACATCGACTTCGGTGGCTTGGACATGTTCTACGAATGTCGCACCAGATAATTCCTCGTTATGCATTATTTGCCGACTCTGGGACTGGTTGGAAAATGCGGAGAGGTTGTCAGCGTATGACATGGTGTCGTGGTATGAAAGGAAACTATACGGGACTGGCTTCTGTTGGTTCTTCTCGACTTCCTGGCTAGAGACGTTATCAGATATGGCTCAGAATGGAAGTCAATGACAATCCTGCTGTGACCTTATTTTACTTTCCTCATACAAAGTAGCTAAAGCTTCCGTAACTGAAAGAATTCTTTCTGGTTGTACCTTTCTGTTTCTTCCATTATTATTATTATTATTATTATTATTATTATTATTATTATTATTATTATTATTATTATTTCACTACCATACACTAATTTGTGGTCGTTTTTGTTTGTTTTTTTCTTTGTACACTCACCTTACATTTTTTATCTCTTCCCATTCTCATTATCATGTGGTGCCCCCTTGTACCAATATTTATGTGTTCAAATAAATAAATATTGTCTCATACATGGCTTACATCGTGGAAGGGTTCTTGTGGAGGTACCTGAAAAAGAAATTGGGTTAGGAGTGATCTTAGTAACCTGAGAGCGTGACCTCAGTGCACAAGGGACAACTGCTTAAGGTCAATCATACACTACCCTTTTGTGAATAATTTTCGTGTTAGTTCCGTACTTGAGAACTTACCACCGGAGACGGATATCCGTGGAATAAGGCGAGGTGTGAATTTTAGGGTCGATCTTCCCTAATTTCAGCCCTCCTTATGGAAAGGCACCATTGCTGTTATGCTGGTTGTTTGAAAGAAACACCTTACTGCTGTCATACCTCTGTACAGTCGGTAGTACAACTTCGCCCTCAGATTTTGGGTTTGCTGCTTTTAGTCTTACCACTCTTCAACCGACCTGTCTGGCATGGTAGAACCTTGAGGAACGATTGTTCCAGCCAATATAGCTCGGTTGGTTCATTACGATAAACAAGCCCGATCACCACATCAAGGTAGTAGCAGCGGTCGGATAGCCGAAAGTAATACAACTACATCTAGTGACTGCAAACCAGAGACATTAAATAAGTTTATACATCTAAGCAATGCGTTTTTCTTACCACCTGTCTAACATTGGTCAGTGTTAAATGATTACCTAGCTATGTTGTGAATATATTTGTTTGTTGATGACGATTTATTCGTATAATCGCGAAGCTGTAGAGCTGAAGTAAGTTATGGAGAGTTATATTTTTCGTTTCATTAATACCGGATTATCGGTGCTTGTGCTTTTTCATGTAAACAGTAAAACTGCTATTTTTCTTAGTCAAGTTCCGTCATCATAAAGGATTTTCAATCACAAATCAATTTCGTCTCAATAACCATTGTAAACTTCAGTGACTTAAAGACTATTTCGTTACGTTCCACGACTGCTCAGTATTATTAGCCCAGGAGTTTAATGATTGTAAATTTCGAAACACTGATTCTGATTTTAACACCTAGCATTGATAAGTTAATTTTACTGATCTTACAATCCCATTCATCAGTTTTCAATTAGTATATATATATATATATATATATATATATATATATATATATATATATATACTCATATTGTTTCCTGTTTATTTAGCTTCTATCGGTCTTATAATGGTTGGTTTACTATCTCATCCAATGATTCATCAACAAGCAGTTGGGGTTTGTCTAATGTATTTTTGGATTGCTATTTCTCCATCATTTTGTCTTTCTCATGGTATATTCCAATTATTTATTAATTATCAGTTTCGTCAAGTTTGCGATTCTCCACTTGTTCAATTCTTATGTCTTGTGGACCAGGTAAACGCTTGCTGCTTAAGTGAGTTATTTGTTTATTTGTTAGGTCACTAGATCATCCTATTGACGATCTATATTTAGCAAGTATTGAATGCGATTATCTTTACTTCACCTTTGTTTAAAGTGTGTCACTAAACTTCTCATCAAATATTGTGTTTATGTATGCCAGATTAAACTAAACTCATGGCATGAGTACTAAAGGTGTCTTAACTAAAATGAATTTAGCAAGTTTTGTATGTCTATTGCACAAACTGTCAGGCTACCAATTCATGAAACACAACTAATTATTTATGCACATTAATTTGAATGTGTAATAAATTATCTCTTGGGTTCGAATGTCTAGTTCATGTGTTGATGAGGGTTTCATTTAATATTACACAAGAAAATATTTCTATAAACATACTCTAAACGAATTAACAGTTCCATGAAATTACCACATTTCCATAATGTGAACTTACAAAAATGAAGTCCTCAGTTTTATCCTAAATAATATCAGCCTGTCACGAAAATCCCTCACATACAATTTTTGTTTAACTCGGTATTTTGTTTTACAAGTTAAGGTTAGTATTATTCCTTGTTAAATTAACAGATTTGTGTGCTTATCTGAGTTACCTAGGCAACAATATAAGTTTAAGAACATATTACTGATTCCTATAGTTAAGATCATGTGTAATCAAGACGTTTTGATACCTTTAAGCAGAATATAAGTATCATCTATATGTTAATAATTGATATCCGTTGAGCCTATGTTGGTTTCAGCTCATTCTTTTCTAGTTTTCTCGATGAATACTTCGAAAAGTTGTATAATTGTGGGATAAGGTTAGTACCTTATCTATATCATCAATGAACCAAGCTATACAAAAAAATACAAAGTTATCATGTAATGTCCTGTTTATGTACAATTCGGTAATAATCTGAAGTTTATACTTTGCGCCTCATCAATAGGGTAAATACGCATTTCCACATTTTCTACAATTGGAACCATTGAGTATATATACTACTGGATCGCGTTAAAATTTTATGTTTAAACATCGTAATTAAGAAAAATCAATATTTACATTTATCATCTCTAACCGATGCTATCACACAGACTTTTCATACATTTAAAAGCGGTGTGTAAATCTAAAATTACATATACCTTAGTTTGTTTGTGATACAGAGACCATGATTACTATATAGTACTAACCATTACATAAATCAAACTTTGACCTAAGAATCCGATAAGTTTATACCAGCTGTGTAGCTAGTAACCACTAATTCACTGGTTCGAAGCCCGCCATGCCTACTTCGGGTTGAATAACCGGGTGATATCATTAACCCTTACACTTAAACTGTGGCTCATATCCAAATATCTGGTGAATGAGTTCATTTAAATTTAAATGGTTACTAGCTATCACTTTAGCTCTTACCGTGGGACTGAAATAGATCTTGGTAAACTAGTCTCAAATACAAATCATCGAAGACCATAAATCATTTTATTGATTTGACAATATATGGAATTTGTATCGAAGTATTATTAATTACGTAGTTTATGCAGCTGTATTTAGAATGCATTGTGTTATTTCCAAATATATTTCAAAAATATCCTTTTTTTCATTTCAATTATCCTTCACTTTTACAGAAACCTGTGATCCATTCTGTGCATATTGGACCAATAATGAATTATCCTATGAATTGGGTGGTGTTGGCGCTCATCTTACTGCTTTATCTATACATGGCTTTCTCTATTTTTCCCTTGTATTAATTTCAGATTCGTCAATTGGAAGAAATTTAAAGATCTGTTTCATCATATGTAAGTTTCCTTAATCTTGTTTTAGTGAGTATATATTTGTATGTAATCCATTCAGTTCTGGTAATTCTTTATTATGGATAGCACTGTTGAACTTATTTAGATCTGGACCAATTTAAAATATTGCTTGCAGACAGTAACCATCACCAGTTAATATCAATAGAACTCAGATTCACAGAACATCAAGCAGCCATTTTATCATGTTTTAGAACCGTTGTCGTAAAGCATTAGAATTAAAAATTACTCAGTTTACCAACCATTTTGCGCAAAATGTTTACTACTGTCAATGTTTTATTCTCTTCACAATCTCCTCTTGTATTCGCTTTCAAATGCTTGATGATTTTTCTCACTAAGTTAAAAAGGGGGTATGTTCCATGTAGATTACACAAATACTCATTTTTGATACATTTACTTTTGAAGAACAAGTATTCAAGACCACATTTACCTATAAAATGATTGTTTTATTTCTTCTAAATGAATTTATTAGTTCTCAAGCCGCAGAAACTTAAGACTTCCTTAAAATGACTTAAACAGTAATTTATAGAATAACTGGATCTACTAATATTAAACTGTTGCTTTGTATTTTTTCATTCATAAATTCTGTTGTCTTGTTTTAATTAAACAGTATCACTTCATCAACCCTAACCCAATTACACCCATACAACCTGCACGATTTTATATAAAGTTCGAAAAACCAATATGATCTTTGATTCATTCTACAATTCACTTTCTGTTTTCACTTCACCAGATTTTCATATATGACACTAGCTTTTTTCTTGTCCACCTACCGGTCTCAGCATGTTTCATCCTTTTAGATAATACTATCTGACGGACTTGTTTAACAAAATTTGTTACCTATTCATAACTGTGTGATTTTTTCTCGTAGGATGTTAAAGAAAATATAAAAATCTATTTATCCCATATAAGCATATTTCATGTAGCTTATTTAATAGCTACTCCCCAAGTTAAAGTGTCAATCAGATCTCGACTAAAGATCACGAACTCTAATATCATGCTAAAGCAGGCTTAGATCCGTCACAATAACATCTTCAGAAGATGGATAATTTCCATTGAGCGCAATAAATGTCACCTTTTCTCTGGCGATTAGTATAATCTTTCTCTCTTTTTATCTTTGATCTAGTGTATAGACGTTTTCGTTATCGACATCACAATCCTGAATTATTGTTATTAAATCAGTATCACGATGACTTAAGCTTCGACGATAGTAATTTGCCAGCTGAAGATGTTGATGTACGCCAACACAGGCATCTAGTTGAATCGTTACCGTACGCACGACTAAAAGAACAAACTTCGTAAGTCAAATTATCGTATATTGGTTGCACCTTACATTTATTATCTGTATCCTGATACTGATACGATAGTGTAAATTATGTAGATGTTAAAAAGAAATAACTAGTTAGATTAAATTCTCAGGAAGACTTAAACGACGTCTCATTCTCACAGGCTTACATAACTTTGTAGAAACATATATCATTATTGAAATGCTAACTTCCATTATTCATTGCCTATATATCGTATCTTGTTCATAATGAAATAAATTTAATCACGTTTTCTGACGAAAATGAGTCTCAATTAATAAAATGCTAATATTTTTAGATGTCGATTTAGATTAAAGTCGGAATTAAAGTCCATTAGAAGCTTTCTGAGGTACCGATTTACTGCTAATTTTGAATCTTCATTAACCTCTTCAAAGTTTGAAATTATACTCTGAGATACCAAACTCATTTCTCCGTTAACAAAAGAAATTTTTTACTATACGAAATTAAGTCACAATGTATTTGATAGCGAAATAACTACAGTATTTGGTAGGACTCTAATTTATGGACGAGCCAATCAGAAGCGTTTAAGGAGTTTCAAGGTCACGGCGCTAAGTTCAATGCGAGATGCTCACACTCGATCGTTTTACAGCAGATTTTAGAGAAGAGGTGATCGTTGAGAGACTACAGCAAATGGGATTATTAAGGAGTTCCTGTGTCGGTGACTGCGGCAATCAAATGACCGCAGCACGATGTGCAGACTACCCCGATGACATTGTGTTTTGTTGTACTATATGTTGGAGAAAACAATCTGCTCGAACAGTCACGTTTTTGCCCGGTCACGGCTAAGGCTAAGACAAATCATGATAATCGTTGCAAATTGGATCATAAAGTCTCCAGTAACATTAGCTGCGGCTATACCTATGATTGGAAAGCGTATAGATGCCTCTCGAAACTTGGTTTTGTGCATCATGTTGTGGTGCACAAACGTCATTTTGTTGATCCAACGACGGGGGTCCATACAAACAACATTGAGGGCATGTGGTCTAGGCTGAAGTATTTTTTAAGACCCTACCACAGCTCCAGAGGACGATTATTATGGAGTCATATGGACGAGTTCTTATACCGCATGCACTATGATTTCAAAACTTCTGAACCTTTATCAAACCTCAACAAGTTCTTAAATCATGTAAAAGAAGAATATCCATTGTAATTCATCACTGTTCTATAATATATTTTTACTTTATACTAACTCTCTTCTGATTAGCTAATGTTCTCAAGGTCACTTGAAAATTCGTTCGAAGGTCGTCCATAAAGTAGAGTTTCACCCAGTATTTCATTCCTCACATTCCATTAGAGTTAGTTGTAATATTCTCAATTTAACTTTACTGTTAGCGACATCAAGATCATGGGTTTCTTGCATAGTGATTGATCACTGTTTTTGATACGAATACTCTCGGCGATGTACTGTCAGTAAACAATACCTTGTGTAATTCCTCTTAGAATACTGTTGAAAATATAGTTTATTCAGACTACATAATTAATCTGGTGTTATTTGTCTTATAGTTTCTTTTTCATGCTTCTTTGCCATACAACTGTAATGTAATGTTTCGACCAATAATATTCCCATACATGTATTTCTCTTTTTCTCATTTAGTCTTGCACTATGCCGCGTTAGTAAAACTTATGGATCAATTAATCCACGGTGTAAACAAAACAAAAAACCTGCAGTAGACCGCCTATCCTTAGCTATTCCTCCATCAGAATGCTTTGGTTTATTAGGCGTAAATGGTGCGGGGAAAACGACAACTTTTCGAATGATAACGGGGGATTTAGAACCTTCTTCTGGACATATAATAGTTGTTGGACATGATTTAAATAGAAATTTACGAAAAGCAAGTTTTCTGTCCTCAAGTAATTTATACATGTTTTGTCACTAGTCAGATATCGATTGATGATTTAACAAAATATACATCACGTAATGCGAATAATAACAATAGACTTAATAAGTTAGTAACGAATGCATTAAAGTGATTAAAATGTTTTTGTTACAATAATTGAAGGTAATTAAAGGTCATAGAGGTGTAAAAAATAAATGAAATGATATGATAAACAATTATGAATGAAATCATGAGAACATGAGATATAAGTAAACGGAGTAATGCAATAATAATAATAGACTAAGGTCAAGGTAACGATAACTATAAGATGTACTTCTTTTGTGTACACGATTCTGACTTGATCTCATGGAGCTTCAGTTATTTTAAGGAGTTAGATACGAAGAAATCTAGGTAGATTTGAATTAATCGTATACACAACCTTAAAATCAAACTGGATCAGTAGAATAATTCGAGTCGATTAGATGGTCAAGAATGAAACTTCTAACATCTGTCAGTTCACCTGCTCTTGTGGAGTAAGGTATATTGACCGTAACCAGCCACGGTGATCGGAAATCGGTTAGAAGTTTCATTCTTACTTATCTAATCGATTCTAATCAATATACTGATCTACTTCGAATCTCATATATAATGGTTTCAAATGCTACAGAAAGCCATGATAATTGAATTTTATCTTTGTTCTATCCTACTAGGCACAACAGTCTTTGGGTTACTGTCCACAATTTGATGCACTCTTACCGTATCTTACTGGATATGAAACATTGCAGTTGTTTGCTCGTCTACGTGGAATTCAAGAAGGGCTTTTAAATACAGAAATCGATCAACTATTAAGTGATCTGAAGTTAACTGATCTTGCTCACGTTTTAGTTAGTCGGTACAGTGGTGGGAATCGACGAAAGTTAAGTGTAGCCATAGCGCTTGTTGGTGAAACTCCGCTTATTTGTTTAGATGAACCTACTACCGGTGTAGATCCTATATCACGTAGACATATTTGGAATTTGCTCTTAAAATATAGACGTCAAGGACGTACACTGGTACTCAGCTCACATAGGTATGATACATTTTCGTTGTGCTTTCAATTATTTACATATACATATTATTTATTTATAAAACCGACAATCTTATTGTTTATTTTAAGTGCGGATACTCAGAACATGAGTAGGTTAAGTAATTTAAGTTAGACTTTTTCTTATTTCTAGAAAATTTGACTAAAATATGTAACATATTTAATGTATAACGTTTTCGTTTTTTTAAGGCTTGTAGAAATAACAACAAAAGATCATATGTCCTTGATTATCAACTAGATTTCGAAATCCCCGGCCGTAGCTGCTACCTTGTCGTGGTGGTCGAGCTTGCCTATCGTGATGACCCAACCGAGCTATATTGGCTGGAACATATGTTCCCGTAGGTTCTACCATGCCAGGCATGTCGATTGGAGAACGGCAAGACTGAAAGCAGCAACTCAAGGTCTGAGGGCGAAGTCGTACTGCTGACTGCAGAGGGGTGTGACAGCAATAAGGTGTTTCCTTCAAAAAACCAGCATCTGCAGCGATGCAGCCTTCTCAGAAAGAAAGAAGGGGTTAGAAAAGGTCGACCCTAAAATGTCACACCTCACGGACTTCTGTCTCCGGTGGTAAGGGCAAACGATTCGAGTACACGGAACGTTTTTCCTGGTCTCCTGAAACCACGCTCTAAACTATACGTAGGAGCTTTCAACGTCCGAACACTGCCCCAATAAGACAACAAGCTTCCTTAGTTAGGACTTTAATATCTCGAGCCATCGATGTGTGTTGCGTCTCCGAAACGCGCATACAGGACTCGAGTAGTGTCATTCATTTGACCTCACCATGTCAAAATAACGAACCAACTAGATTCACGCTTCGTGTATCTGGAATCCCAGATGCTGCTTCCCGTGGCCTCGCTGGCGTAGGTATAGCATTGAGTCCTAGGGCAGGACTAGCTCTCTTAGACTGGATCCTAATAAAAAGTCGTTTGTGCGCTGTCCGACTAAATGGAACAATAAGGATCCGAAAAGATAGGAACACTCGTCGTTGCCTCTTCGTCGTCTCTGCCTACTCTCCCACTGACTGCAGCGCAGACGATGTAAAAGATGAGTTTCACAGAAAGCTCTCCGACCTTCTCCGAAAAGCTAGGCTCTCTGATGTAGTAATAATGGCCGGTGACTGTAATGCTCAATTAGGTAAACTAAGCGATAGGGAAAGACACCTAGGCGGATCTTATGGTGTCGTGGCTCAAAGAACAGATAATGGCGACCGTCTACCGCAGCTATTATCAGATAACCGTCTGTTTCTTGCAAACACTAACTTTAAGCACAAGAAAAAACATCTTTTGACATGGCGACCCCCGAATTTGTCCCAACGTTGGACCCTAATTGATCACGACGCTATCAGCCACTGGTTGAGGGGCTCGATAGAAGACTGTCGCTCATTCTGGAGCACATGCCTAGATTCAGATCATGCTCTAGTGCGAGCGCGTATTTGTTTGCGTCTTACTGGACGTAGGAAAGACGCTGCAAGGAAACCTCTTAGGGCCCTCAGTCAGTCAGCTACAACGTAGGACCAGGCACATATATCCATCGGTCCAAGTTGCCATAACTCAATAACACAGCAAGATGAACACCGGATTCATAAAAGTAGTTAATTCAGTGGTGGTAATATATAAAAGAAGGATTGCATATAAGGACATAGTACAGGAAGAAAGAATTAGTTCGTAGAAAGAAAGATATGAAGCAATTTTAACCTCTTAGTTTAAGGGAAGACAGGAAGTATATACACCTACGCCATTGTGATCGATTCTGAGCCATGTCACTCACAGTCTCCAACCATTGGTTACGAAAGTCACGCGGACCCCAACCAAGTAGTCTGCATCTACCAACATGGCTCAGAATAGAAGTTAGTGACTTCAAGCACTGATGCCACATTTTGGTTTGGCCGCCCCTAACTTTCTTCCAACCATCTCTAACACCAGTTAGCATTGCATGACGTGGTAGTCTAAGCACATGCTTAGATTCAGATCATTTTCTAGTGCGAGCGCGTATTTGTCTGCGTCTTACTGGACGTAGGAAATATGATGCAAGGAAACCTCTTAGGGTCCTACTTAATGATAGCCAAGCTAAGAATATATCTCAGGAACAACTAGAAAAACCGGTAGGTAGCCATGTAAGTGATGCCCACCCCGAGGCAGCATGGAATGGTATCCGAAAAGCTGTGGAAACAGCAGTGATATCTGCCAGTAAGGTAAACCATAAGGTTAGGAAGCAACACTGGGTCTCAGCAGCATCTACCGCACTGATAGATGCTCGGAAACTCATCCCATCTGGCTCTGAACATAGCGAAGGGCGGAGTCAGATTAAGCGCAAGCTGATAAGAAGCCTACGTAATGATCGGGAAGAGCTATGGGTAGCGAAAGCAAGAGAGATGGAAAAGGCAGCGGCAATAGGTGACATCAAACAACTGTTCAGACTTGTTAAGGAAACTGGTATTAGGAAACCGACTGTTAGCGAAACACTCTCAGAGAAATATGGACATATTATACATTCTCAATCCAAGAGATTGGTTCGATGGGCAGAACACTTTAGGGATCAGTTCAACTGGCCTTCAGCCACACTTCGGTTTCCCACAATCTCCAGTCAACCTGAATGGCAAGTTAGTGTAGGTCCTCCGACTCTTTACGAAGTTGAAAAAGCCATAGGAAATCTGAAGCGAGGGAGAGCAGCAAGCCCTGACAGGTTTACTCCTAAGATTTTTAAGGATGGTGGTTCAGTATTAGCAGTGAGATTAACTGAGGTCTTAGGTAGAATTCGGGAATTGGACGTAATCCCATCTGACTGGTCTCAGTCACTGATTGTGTCAGTTTATTAGAAAGGACAAAAGTCCTCCTGTGACAATCACAGAGAAATCAGTTTGACTAATATAGTATCTAAAATATTAGCTTCAATAATACTTCTACGCCTAACAAAAGCTCGTGAAGAACAGACTAGAGAAAATCAGGCTGTTTTTCAACCTGGACGTGGTTGTATAGACCAGATATTCACACTACGTCAGGTCCTAGAACATAAACACACATTCAGACGCCCCACAATGGTAGTATTTCTCGACCTTAAGGCGGCATTTGACAGTGTTGATCTCGAGGTTCTGTGGTAGTGTTTGTCATTGAAAGGAGTACCAAAGAAGTACATTAACCTTGTAAAGGCTCTCTATTTGCACACAACTGGTCGAGTGAGAGCTTATGGCGAACTGTCATCAGAATTGATTACATCAAGTGGTGTTCGTCAGGGCTATCCACTCTCTCTATCCATGTTTAGCTTTGTCGCTAACGTGCTTTTAAACATAACACTTTCCACATCTGAATTTCCAGGGGTTGAACTTCTACCAGGAGATTCACTTGTTGACTTAGAATATGCTGATGATATCGTTCTATTTGGTGAAGACGCTGACAAAATGCAGAGTCTTCTGACCACCCTAAGCAACAAAGCATGCATGTTCGGGATGCGATTCTCCCACTCGAAATGTAAAATGTTGCTTCAGGATTGGGTTGCATTGACACCCGAACTAATGGTAGGGAGTGAAGTAATTAAGCGTGTCGATCGATTCACTTATATCGGAAGTCTCATCAGCCCTTGTGGTCTGGTGTGTGACGAAATCTCAGCACAGATACAAAAGGCTCGATTAGCTTTTGCCAACTTGCGTCATTTATGGCGTAGGCGAGATATCCATCTATCAACCAAAGGACGTGTTTACTGCGCAGCAGTTCGTTCCTTCCTACTTTATGGCAGTGAAACATGGCCGGTAAGAGTAGAAGATATTCGTAGGTTACTAGTATTGGATCATATATGTCATCGAAACATTGGCCCTATATCCTGAGACCACCGAGTAAGTAACTCAGCTGTTAGGAAACGGGTACTAGGTAAGGATGGCGAACCAATTGATGAAGTAGTGAAACTTCATCAGTTGAGATGGCTGGGACACGTATTACGTTTGTTCAACCACTGACTGCCTCGACGTGCGATGTTTTCTGGTGTAGGTGTAAGTTAGAAGAAAGCCAGGGGTGGCGAGATCAAAACGTGGCACAAATCCATGAAGTCACTGACAAGTGGACTGAGCCATGTTGGCAGGTGTAGACTACCTGGTTGGGGACCGCGAGATGATACCAACCAATGGTTAGAGACCCTGAATGACATGACTCAAAATCGTTTGCGATGGCACAGGTGCATTCACTCTTTGTGTTCTCCCAATTTCTAATCTTCTGAATTCTTCCTGTCCTTTATTTTCTTCCCAAATTTGTTTCACTGGATTATACTCCTTGAATAACATCTTCAAACCCTAATGTTTCCGATTACTGCTTATACTCGTACTACCTCTACCACTACATGATTGAATCGATAACTGCATCTTTGTGCTAATGTGGTATGGCAACTCGAACTGATGTACGTACATACGAAGTTCTACGTTGTTAATGACTGACTGACTGGATATTTCGAATTCGTGTGACATTAATTCGTAGAAACCATCTGACCTTTGAATAAATGTGTTCACTTTGTGACTGATCAGCAATACATGATATCGAATTATTTTTCTACAAAATCTTGAATATTCTGTTCACTTACGTACCTTCAGTATTCTCCCAATATGATCAACTTACAATAAATACTCAATTGTATATATTTAATCATTTAAACTGTGAGATAGCACAACTTCACGATGGTCGTATATCAACTGCGTTGGTGCAAAATAATGTTTCATTGGTTTCACTCCTACTGTATGCAGATTGTTAGATGGCCTTTGTGCATTCTCTGATGGATTCAGTCGATTGATTGTCACGTCTAACATATTCAGTTAAATGCTCTCTCAAGTCTACTAATTCGGGCAAACAGTTTGTAATAAGGAATAAAAAGCAAATAGTAGGGTTTGCTATTAGGTCAAAAACGTTTCGCAAAATTCGCTGTCTGTCATCAGAGTTCTGTACAGTTTTCACAAATTGAACTTCTAACGAGAATACCTATTACATTTTGTCCCTAGAACAGGCAAACTGGTATTGGTTTCCTAATAATTCAACGTTGAAGTATTTCAGGTGGTTGGAAATACATATTATATTTTCATGATCAATTACGCCTTTCATATCTGGAAACAATACATACTCTGGCTTCGTACAAAGATGTTAACTTCACCTAGATACATATATGCTATTTAGTTTAATGTAGACAATATAAAGCTATTCTGTCAGTAGTAGATGACTTCGACTCCGAAGAGACCAAAGTAATTCTTTTACTTGGATGTGGTTTCCAAAACATCCTAGTCATATTATTCCTGAATCATGAAGGATGCTCGTTTGTACTATCTGCACCACGTTTTTCTCCTTCATTCGTTTTCTGTTTTCAGTATGGAAGAATGTGAAGCATTATGTTCTCGTGTCAGTATTGTTGTCAATGGTAGAATGAAATGTTTAGGAACGTGCCAACACTTAAAAGCACGTTTCGGTCATGGCTATAGTCTTAATATACAAGTGATGATTCCGATGGTAAATCATCATCTCAGTTCATTTAATGCTGAACCAACCGTGTCATCAACATCAAGTTCCCGTGTCCCACATCAGTTGTCATTAATTAATGCAGTAAATACTGTGGATAGTTTTGTCAAACGTGAATTTCCCGATGCACGTTTAGTTGATCGACATCAGGTAAATGCATTCTTTCTCCATGGTAAAATTTCTCGATCTGATACTTCTTCGTATTTGTTTATTTTTGTATATTACATTATACTACTTATTAAAACTCAACTAATTTCAATTTCGATCATTCATACAAACCTGTAGCATTCTATTTACTCGTCATTGTAATGATAACTTATTATGGTGTATTTCATGTGTTTTTTTTACCTACACATCGTTTTTCCAAGAACACCTAAAAAGATAAAGAAATTCATTCACCAGGTACGTGAATGTGCCACACTGGAATTGTAAGTATTAATACTACTCGGTCACAACCGATATATATATATATATATATATATATATATATATATATATATATGCAGCACACTCATCACTTTTACTGTCGAAGAAGCAGTTAATGCTCAAATAATTTTAAGGTGAAGGCTTCAATATTCGGTCGGGTTTTTTTAAAAAATCAGGACTGTATGCACTACTCATGTTACAGAGGTCGTACTGTGTTACTCACCTGGTAGATTCCAGTTAACTCTGTGGTCAAGGGCACAAATCTTTATGATGATTTTTTTATCATATATGTGACATGTATAAGTATTTTTATGGTTTAAGGGTCTCTCCCTCCCACTTTATTCATTTGAACTAATGTTTTTGTTGTGTTTAATTACAGGGTGTACTACAATATCATTTACCAACAGATGGGAGAAATCAAATACGCTTAAGTCATATATTCCACCTTATGGAATCGAATAAAACACGTCTCGGACTACTAAATTATTCAATTAATCAAACAACTCTAGAACAAATATTTATAGATTTAATTAAACTACAAGAAGAACCTGTAAATCAATAATTTTAACTCGTACTACCATGCATCAGTAATGACATTTGATTCAGTTTTTAAACCTTGGTCAATTAACAATCAGAAAAATTCAGAGATCAGAACGTATACATTACGTTCATCATAATGTTTATGTTATTTTTTAATTCTTATTTTCAGTTCAGTTCTGGAATTGTTTCCTTTGTATTTTTTAATGTGTGGGGATTATTTAAGCCTGATTAATGAGAGTTTTTTAATGATTCTTTATGCCATTGCCATTCTACGTTTATTATCGTAAAATCTATACATATTTTTAATGACTATTTTTGACAACTTCATTTTTAATCTAACATGTACGCATACGCATATACACACATTGTTGTCAGTGTCATAATCACCTTATCAATATTATGAGCACGACAGTAATGAAAATCCCGCTTATTGAACCTGCTTAACACAATATAGTCTATCCTGTGATTAGAAAATCATCCATATTCGATTGTTTTTACGTGCTTCGTTTTATGTAAATTTTTATCTCATATTAATGATAGTTTTCTATAGAAATATATATATTTTTTCGCTTGTAAAGAGATACTTGAGGAACAAACTCAAAATTATTTTAAAGATATATATTGAAATGATGAAAATTCAACTCTCAGTTTTATTAAGTTAGGATAGTACCTAGCAATGGAATCCAAGGTTCCTGTTTAGGACTCATTAGTTGTATTCCAGTGTCGGTTTTGACATTTGGACACGAACTTAGTACTTTTTGCTTCAAACCTCTACACACTAGCCACTGAGTTCAATAAGCCAATATCCCGCTCAAAAGATATGAATTTTGTTAAGTGTTCGTATTTTCCCGTTGTTGATGTTTAGAACTACAGTTTATCAGTCTCTATACCTACAATGGGATTGTTAAAATGATCCATTTTCCATTGATTTAAAATCAGTTTAAATGAACTGTATGTTGACATAGTCAAATACCAGAAATAACGTAGATATTAGAAGTGATCATGAAACAAAAAATGTTAACGTAATGTATGAGTAGATACATAGTACTGCTGTATAATTAAACCTTATTCCCTCTTACAAACACGTCTGTTTTTTTAGATGAAGAATTAAAATCATCTCAAGAAGATTGCCTTGTTTATCTTATATAATTAAACACCAGAATTTACTTCGACAACAGTTGTACTATCAGAGAATGATTCGGAAATATGCTTTCTGTTTGTTTCTAACTATTTATTGAACAGTGCACTTGAAAAAGCGGTTCCACACCTTTCTTAACGAAAGTTTTTACAAAGACAGCTGGATTTTATTGACCGTATCTTATGTGGAAGGTGATTTTTGCCTAATAAAGTTGATACACTAAGCTTAACATTGGTACAACTTATACACTAGACATTTTCCCTACATAGGTTTATTTCTCTCCAACACGTTATGTGTGACATAAATTCTCCTGATTTACTCATCTAAATGATTCTCATTATCGGAGGGAATTATAAATTAAGAGGTTTATTGTAAACTGAATAACATTCCGAAAGAAGTTCATATCCATCATTCAACCTAGCGGTCACAATTCGTATTTTCACAGTTATTATTCTTATGTTTAGTTGTCAGCTTGCTAAATGATAATCTAGTTGACTAACAAATTAAATTTGTCGAAACTACTTTTCCATTAAACGAGCTTTTGTTTTTTCCACTCAATTACAACCTCTGACTTTTCAATAAAGTTATTAACACTGAACTCTTATCAAGTTTTGTCCAGTTTAACCAGTCATTTAAATATAACTTACTGTAACTATCAGTTAAACTGGGATTATTGACATAAATTTCCCAAAACAATTGCCTGCAATATATGCTTGCATCACAGAATGATTGCTTCATTTTGCTCACTACTAGTATTTCCAACAACCGATCCCACCCTTGTTTAAATTAAATCTGTAGCATAGGATAAAAATTATGAATTCAAATCATATAAAAAATACACTAATGTCCCTACCGCTCAATCATGATCATAGTTGTAGAGCCAACAGAACCATTGAACACTAATCTAAAAATGCGAGAACTAGATTAAAACTCGACTAATTGATCGACAGTCGATTGTAAACTCAGTCAGTCATTAACAACGTAGAACTTCGTATGTACGTACATCAGTTCGAGTTGCCATACCACATTAGCACAAAGATGCAGTTATCGATTCAATCCTGTAGTGGTAGAGGTAGTACGAGTATAAGCAGTAATCGGAAACATTAGGGTTTGAAGATGTTATTCAAGGAGTATAATCCAGTGAAACAAATTTGGGAAGAAAATAAAGGACAGGAAGAATTCAGAAGATTAGAAATTGGGAGAACACAAAGAGTGAATGCACCTGTGCCATCGCAAACGATTTTGAGTCATGTCATTCAGGGTCTCTAACCATTGGTTGGTATCATCTCGCGGTCCCCAACCAGGTAGTCTACACCTGCCAACATGGCTCAGTCCACTTGTCAGTGACTTCATGGATTTGTGCCACGTTTTGATCTCGCCACCCCTGGCTTTCTTCTAACTTACACCTACACCAGAAAACATCGCACGTCGAGGCAGTCAGTGGTTGAACAAACGTAATACGTGTCCCAGCCATCTCAACTGATGAAGTTTCACTACTTCCTCTGTCTTCATCATATTTGAAGAAAGGTACTATTCTGAAGTATTTAGACTGTCAGCGCACAACATATATACACCTTTTCATAACAAGAATAGTGTCGGATAAATTAGAAAGTTATCCTCTTTTAAAATTGAAAAAAGATATCTCTATATCACAAAGTAATTGAATTTTGAATAGAAACTAACTGAATAGCATTGTTACGAAGAAGTTGGTTTGATCTCTCTTAGGTTAAGAGGGATCATCTTCAAAGAGATAAAAGACAGCACAGAATATTTATTCAGTACTAGCTGGTTCTCAAAGGTCACGAAGCTGATAACAGTTCTTGATGAAATTTGATTTATAACCAATACAAAGAGTTACCGTAATAAGCAACTAGAAATATGTTCAATTTCCTTGAAAACAAGCTCAGGTCATCAAAGTACATCATAAATCAAGCAATCTTTGTACTTTTCCATCTGGGCAATTTGTTGTTATGGTGACTTCGTATGAGAACAAGTCATTCTTTTATATATTTTTTGATTTCACTCATTTCCTTATAAATAAATAAACATTCATCAAAATATAAAGTTTATTTAACTAATTACATGAACATCGTTAGTATTGTTAATCAATCCACAAGCGTAAAGGGTGAAAATGGACTTAAATTCTATTCTACATTAATTAATGGATCTTTTGTTCTCATAAAAAAAATCGTACAAAATGTCATACTGTCCTATTTGAAAAGAGAAAATCACTTTTCATCCTACACAAATAACTGGAAATGAATACATTTCTGTAATTATATGTATGTTGGTCCAAACTCTACTTGTATGACCCGTTTAAACTAGTTTTCTTTTTGAACAATTTTACTTCCTTAACAATATTTAATTCATATACTGTAATTTTTAAAAGGTGTCTTAAACAAAGTTATGTATTTGGAACACTAGTTCAGATGCACCTCTGTAAAGCCCTATGAAGAGTTATTTAAAAGTGTATCATTCCTTATATATCGGCAATTTCAATATGACGGTAACTATTTTGATTATCTAAATGAGTGATTAGATTTTAATGACGAGACAGCCCACTTTTTGTGAAGCGAGTTCGATCATTAAAGAACAATGAGAATAGATTAATATGGACGAGCGACTATTACTTGACAAAATCACAATGCATCGTGACGCAATTAGTGATAATATCACATAAAACTAATCAGGGTTTACTTCAATAAGGACCAACAGAATGAATGGGAAATAACTCGGCATCTAAAACTTCAGGAAATGACAAACATTGTAAAGATGCTAAAGTCAATCACAATTCATTAGTTGTTGCAAAAGCATGAACTCACATAAAATAGGTTTTTATTTGTTCGGTTCACAACATATTATGTGAGTAGAGTTCAAATGGAAACAAAATATGCCCAAAGGTTATGAATTACATTCCAGTTTATATGTTCTACGTCTCGTCGGAATGGAACCAGTATACATAAAGAGTAACAAAGGCGTTGGTTTACTGAATGACCACACCATAAAAAGGACACAGATAAACAACAAAAAGTTGTGAAGATGTATGGATTATCGGACGGCGAAGTGTAGATCTTGCTCTTGTGCAAAATATGATGTCAATATAGATCAACCAAATAAATTTAATCACGTTCAAAATAAAGCTAACTTAGAAGTAAAACAGTAATCGCTATAATAAAGATTATCAAATCATAGCTAAGACAGCTGACAGTCTAACGATTGCAACTTCAGCTCATTTTCCAGCTGTCATCAAGTATTCCTTCTAAGTCCGAATTGATCGAATACAGTCACTATCATCTGAAAACAAGTAGGCTATGAGAGTCGAAAATTTCCTTCTGTATGATATTGGACTAGGCGAAAAATGAATTTTGATGTTTCCTACAACTCAGAGTCACGAATGGAACAGCCAAGACCTCATCGCTTCTGTTTACACAGATTATACTATGAAATTCAATACTACTATTGTCTTGGTTTATATTCTAATGAATGACGAAAGTATAAAGATGTTGTATGTACATCTTCAACGAACTTAGCAAACTATATACAAAGTAAATCCCTCAACTATCACGACTGATTATAAACGTTTAGCCAATATCAGCATATTAACGTGTATGTCTAAACGTATTACAAAGTCTCAAGGCTATAGCGAATTAATTATCCAAATTGTACTGTGAAATATCGATATTTACATTGTGGAAAATCTTAAATTGAATAATGTAGTAGTGAGGTGGTTTAGCGACTTTAGTCAATTCGCTAGTTCTGCTGATCCTAGCATACGCGAATTCTCGTATGCTCTAAAAAGCAATAGAGTTTAAATGCATTAAAAATGGAATGGTTTGTTTCTGAGACCCAATAACAGTGTGGAATAAAAAGTTCAAGCAGGTAGA